AAATAAGCCTAAGGGACATTTGTTGTGTCTAATTAACTCAGATTTATGCCAGCTTATACAGGATTGTGCCAATTCCTTCACGTCCCTATTCATATCACGCCAGTAAAACCGTTCTGCTATGAGCCTGATGGTTGCACAAACACCTGGATATGAACGTTTAAAGAAATTGCGTCGGCACGATTGAGCGATCCCTACCTGTAGATGTATCGCATAGTAAGGTTTCCTTACCTGTCCCCATCTCTTTAATAGGAATTTTTAAGGTTGCTGAAGATGACTCGTGCTGAAGGTCAGTGCCTTCTTTTTGAAGCTGGGCGAGTTTAAGAGGGTCGATTCCTTGAAAACTGTTCAAGGAAGTAATACGAAAGGAGACGTCTGCAACTGCATTGTTTGCTCTAGAAATAATTTGGATGTCTGAAGTAAACTGCGAAATGTAGTCCAGTTGTCGAGACTCACGAGGTGAGTACTTGTCTGAAGATGAGCTCAAAGAGAAGGTAGGAGGCTTATGATCACTGAAAAAAGTGAACTGTCGACTTTCAGTAGAGTGTTGGAAATGCCGTGCAGCACAATGCATAGCTAGGAGTTCCCTACCGAAAGTGCTACACCTCGATTCAGTGCCTAGCAACCATCTAGGGAGAAATGCTAAAGGTTGTTCGGAGTGGTTAACCCATTGTTGTAAGACTCCTCCAATTGTTGAGTCGGATGCGTCTACTGCGATGCTAATGGGTGCTTCAGTGTCCTGATGTGCGAGCATGGTTGTCTTTGTGATAGGTTCCTTAACTGTGCAGAATGCTATTAGCGTGGTATCGTCCAAATTGATGGATTTCGCATTTCCATGAAGTTGGTCGGTTAGCGGTTTCATAAGTGACGTGCAGTTTGGTATGAACTGTCTACAGAAACTTATCAGCCCGTTAAATGTGCGCAATCGCCCAATGGTGGTCGGTTCTTGGTAATCCAGAATGGCCACCACTCCGCTTCTTAGAGGTCGAATGGCTTGCTCATCAATATTGTGTCCTAGGAAATCTAAGGAGTCGGTTCCGACTCGGCATTTCAGTACGTTTACGGTTATGCCATGTTTTTGCAGTCGTTCAAAAACAAGGTCCAGATGCTGGAGATGAGATTCCCTGTTTGGACTTGAGATTAAACAATCATCAACATACGCATGTACGAAGTTGAGACCTTGTGGTGTTTGAACCAACTAATGATTCCTTTGTACTTGTTGAATGCTTGATTTCGAATTCCAAATACAGTACATTCGTTCATGCTTATCTAGTACCTTCTGATCCGATTACGTTATTTCTGGGATCTTAGTTCGTACTATAATTCAAATACTCCTAATCATCATAGACCTCAAAAGATGTCATCTATGAATATTTGAAAAGTTCGTGCAGCATTTCTTAGGCCGTAAAACATATGCAAAACTCCTCGAGAACGAAGGGAGTGATGATAGCGGTTTTTGGAATGTCGTCAGAAGCCATAGGAATTTGGTCATATGCTTCGATCAAGTCGATTTTCGAAAATACACCTTTTACCTTTCATAGTAGCTGTCAAATCGTGAATGTGAGACAACGGATAACGATCAGGAATGTTTTTCGCATTCAACCGCCGATAGCCACTAGCTGAACGCCAGCCGTTGCAGCCTTTTTTAGAGACCACGTGCAAGGGACATGCCCATGGGCTGCTCGCGTTTGGCTGCTTTGAGTCTACATGTCCATCACCGTAATTGATGACTATGGAAACGTTACTAGTATGGATGGAGACCGGATTCGTGGACCGCTGAAACGTCTGGGAAACAGTTTCGGATTCTGTTATGTTTTATTTTTATCTGGGTACTCTTAGATTATAAAAGAAATAAAATCGAGAGTGCATTTATTTGCATACCCATACGGATCAGTCTGATTAAGTGTCGTGAACTTGTTGTTTAACAAAGGTTTTACTAATCCGTTTTGTTTGAAGTTAGCCATCGTATTGTATGAAGTCATGAAACGTGTCCCTAGAACTTTACTGTGTACGTCTGGCGTAATAGGTGACTGGTTAAAACGATGTCGGATACGGAGATTTAGATTGTGCAATCGTCTTTCATATACCTTTATTTTGGCTGTATTGTACATATAACCAGGAATCACACAAACATAATTTATTGATCGTCAAACAATTGTAAGTGGAATGACACTGATTTCTGCTGCTGTATCTAAGATAGAAAAATGGACCAGATTTAAAAATGACGATAACAGCAAGTCAATACATTTCATCACACGTAAAGTTTATCGAAAGTTTACACGCGATTGCACTCTCCATATTTTATATCCATACTTTCTATCGTGTCAAAATGCGTACCTCAAAGACAACTATGTGGAACAGAAACAATCAACCTTAATAACCAACCATTCATCACAAAAGTTTCTCTCTATTCTGACAAGAACGTACCAAAATGGATTTTGAAGCGATTTCTGTGAGTTCTATTGATTGCTACATTTCTATCCTAGTGATTCTGTGATATATGCTACTTATTTCTGTCGACATAAGTAGCATGTAACACCAATCAGAAGTGGAATGCCTAGCAGCAGAAGATTGAGAAAATCGAACAAAAAAGAATAAGAGTGTAAACAGAGAGTAATTTTTATAACAACAAAAACGATTAAATTTGTAAGAGACAATTGATGGAAGATATGCAAATGAAGTATTTGATGTATGGTTTCCATATTTTACAAACGAACTCTGTAATTTTATATTAAACAATAAATTAGTTTCTCCCCACCTGAGTGTTAGTTCACCACAATTCTACTGTCATTGTCAAAATAAATCCAACACAATTACAGAGATGTTGATTTCTGATACTAATCCAATATTACTTTTAATTCAGTCCAATTTCGTTCACTTAGTGAAATTACAATTTGATTCTATTATCTACAACCGTATGCGTCAGTTAGCTAATTTAATAGCTTAAATATAAATTCAGTAACAATTGTATCATAGTTCTCACTTGATTCTATTGTCGTCGATTATCAAGTATCAAGATAACGAAGATAGCGAATTTTTCGAAGTATAGATTGACGTAGGATTTACATAACGCTACAGTTAACATAAGGTCAATAATAAATTGACTTGCAAAACTGAATGATAAGACTCGTGGCTAGATGAATTTACACCCCACAGCAATAACAGAAATAGTCTGATGAAAATAACAACCATACTTTATGAAAGTACTGTAATTAATTATTACGCAAGATACTCAACATCCAATGGCCGGATACAATCATAATCAGCCTTTTATAGAAGAGAACAAACCAACTTTCAACTGAAGAGGTAATTAAGAAAAGACGTTAGAAGTGGATGAGACATACATTACAGAAATCATTAACGGAGTATCATGAGGCAAGCGTTAACTTAGAATCCTAAAGAGGAGCCGAAAATAGGAAGACCAAAGAACATATTACATCGGGAAATAGAAGCAAATATGAAAAGGATAAATAACAACTGGAAAGATCTCGAAAAAATTGCCCAGAACAAGGTTGAATGCTGAATGCTAGTGAGCAGCCTACGCTCCTTCACGAGGAGTAACAGGGGTAAGTTAAGTACTCAATGCTCAATTCATTCAAAGTGATCAAGTGCAACCTTAATTTGATTCACAGTATAAAATAAATTCATAATACTGATATTCACTTATTATCCTATTGAATATTCAATAATATATAAAGAATGATTTAATATTATAGTTATACTTTATTGTTCATAATCTGATAATGAATAATAATAATAATAAGATAGGGATTTGTTTTTCTTTTCTTTTTTTAGACAAAAACAAACAAACAATCGACTGTTTACAAATCACTATAACAATAATTATCTTTATTATTCTAATATATCATTGTAAACATATTGATTATTGATTTCCGATTAAATATGTAACATAGAAGAAAAGGAAAATAATATTGATCTTTGGAAAAAAAGTACAACTCACAACAACAAAAAAATCATATTGGTTTAGTATAATAAGTTCAAGTTTTAAATTGATATTACATAAAAGAAAGAAAGAAAAAGAAAAACAACGATGAGAAATGAATAGATAAGTGAATGAATAAATAAATCTAAATATTTTATGTGCAATTAAAACTTTAAACGATGAAGTAAATTAAATGGGAAGAATTTTATGAAGAGAACCAAAACCAAAACAACAAAAAGAAAGAAAGAAAAAGAATAATTCATTATTGATGTTACTGTGCAAAGATAAAATACACAAATAAATAAATAAAAACAAAGTAGAGTAATAGAATAAAACAAAAACTAGATAAATAGAAGTTGAACTAATTAGAATTGAAATTGAATGTTGACAATAGCAATAACAACTACAAAAAAAACAATGACACACTCACACATACACACACAAATATGTTGAACCATTGAAATGCGGGAAATTGTTATTATTTGAATTTGTGAGTTAAATTTTTTGTTTTGTTTTGGAAAATTTCAATTTTACACATTGTATTAATAAAGTAAAACAAACATGCATAGATGATATTGAATGATTTCTCATATGAATAGATTCATATAAAATAGTCAATGAGATAGATAGATAGATAAATGTCTTTTTCTTTTAATCCGACTATTAAAATACAGCTAATATTAGTAGTAGTAATAATAATTATTATTATAACAGTAAGATACTCTGAATGATCTTAGTTAAATAGTTTGTCATTTTTCTCTTTTTTTTATGGAAAAAAAGAAAGAAAAACGTTTCACAAATTGAATGGTTAAAATCCTGTTTATTTTTTTCCTTTTTTCTTTAATTTCTTTTCATTCTTTTTTTCTTAAAATGAAAATTTATACAATACAATACATAGTACAAAATGTAATGAAGACATATTATTATTGAATGATTATGTTAATGAATTGGGAAAAATAAATAAATCCATATGATTTTTATCTGTTGAAATGTATTCAATAAGAGAACGGATAATGATAAGAGATTTAGCAATAATAATAATGGCAATAATAATAGTAACAGTAGTAGTAGTAGTAGTAGTAGTAGTAGTAGTAGTAGTAGTAGTAGTAGTAGTAGTAGTAGTAGCAGTAGTAGTAATCTTTCCGATGATTTAGACGAGAGTTGAAGAATCAATTCATGAGATTATATGTATATATATATATATATATATATAGGTGTATTCAGGGATTATTTCATTGAAATGCATTAATATCATTGAATATGGAAGACAATTTATGATTCAATCATTGATAACAAAAATTCATTATTTCTTTGAATTCATGAATCATTTAAAGAATCTAGATTGTTGATAAATTATATATAAATAAAAGAAAAATCAATCAAGTTTATTTATAAAGCTTTGTTAATTAGATTGCTTAAATAAAGAAAAAACTAGGCAACATCTCTTATATTATTTATTATTATTATTATTTAATAGATGAATGAATGAATCAAACAAAGCTAGAACAATATGGAAAAACCTGGAAGCACTGGACGGTCGTTTCATCCCAGTATGGGACTCGTCAGCAGTGCACATCCACGATCCATCTCGCCGGATTTGAACTCAGGAGCTATAAGTCTCGCAAGAGAACGTTTAACCAGTAGACTATTGATTTGACATCCAATGGTGTTAATGCTTAACTTCAACTAATCATTATTATACTCTGATTCGCAACATTTCTAGTTATATTAATTAGAAAGTAAACAATTAATATAAGGTTATTGCATTATATTGTTTCTAATGTTTTGACTGAAATTAGATTCACATTCCATTTGTTCTATACTAACTTGTATCAGAATGACTATATCACGGTAATCCACATAGAACGCATATTTGCTGACCAAGACTGATTAAATTTCAGTCAGAATATCAACAATCGGATTATACAAACCATTTCGAATTAAATTAAAATTTATAGGTTTTGCAAAATTGAATGGTTGCTTGGACTTTATAACTAAGTGAAGAATGTGACAGTGCTTAAAATGGCTATCACTGGGTTTAATACACGGGATGAATATCAACTCCGAGATGCAGGTACATCCGACTGAGGCGTTCCAAATGGAAAGAAATGTGTGTCCTGGATTCTATCGCTAGCGACATTCCATATATTCTATACTAGAAACTATGAAGGTTCAAGAGTTCACAATTTGTCAGTAAGAAACTCACCCTTCAATGTCTGTTTAGAAAAAAATAACTTCAGTTAGAATTACCTGTAGAATTTTTAGTGTACATTAAGTCTGATATATCCAACATATTCGGTCATGTGTTATTTTTTTAGTAAATGAGACTATGTGTTAAGGCGTAATATTCACTAAAAATTCAATTTCAAGTTTCCAACTATCTGATGTCAACATCTCAATAAAAAGTAGCCTGATAAGCTGGTCAAATATAAGATTCAATTTAGAAAGTATATCTTTGTAAAGATTAGTCTTCTATTTAACTAACTACGAAAATATCTAGAAAAGTTACACACAACCCAATTATGGAATATTGTAAATGTTACAAATAGCCTCATTAAAAATTCATAGATATGACTACATTTATTTATACTATTTATCATATCTATAGATAACCTTGATAAAACGGCTTTCCCGTGTTTTCACGTATCCACAGGTGGTCTAGCATTGATTTTTCCATAATATCAATAAAATAAATATTTGACATTTAGAGATTATGAGTTGATTTTATCAACTAAAGTGACACGAATCCATATTTATCTGAACAGTTATATAATTTCTGACACTAGTTATTGTCACTTCAATAGATCGCTTGTCAGTATCCAAGAAAAATTAATCATAGATTAAACAATAGATTTGCTTTTACCTGATCACTACTCATAAACGGTAATTAAGTAATCACATGTAAACGTGTGAAAAAACACACATTAAGATTGTACAAACAGATTGAAATGTTTTTATCAACTTGGAAGATCTACAATGTTTATTTCATACCAATTTTAATGGTTTTGCATCAAATTTTTATTTATTAATCAAGCTAACTGATTATATGCTTCCTTTGAACAACTATTAGTATGCTTCAAAATGTGATGTTACAAATAAAGTAAATGTTGTAAAGCCATTTAGTTTTTATTTACAAAAACAGTGTATTATAGAGCAAATAGAATTTCACGTTTCAAAATGTGAATTGATCTTAGCTAGACCACCGGTGAAAACAAGGAAGAATTTGACAGCTTTCTATCCTAGTACAGGATTCCCCATTTGTACGTATCTATGACCACAGGACAGGAAGGTGACTCTAGGACTCACACCAACCACTAATCACCAGACCAGTGAACCGGAAACCAACGGTATTCATCCCTGGCTTCAATAAATTCACGATGTTACGCGACCATCTTCCTTCGTCTCTGGCAATTAACTGTCTCATATCCGACATGGCTGAACTTCACTGGTCACAGTTTCCCACTATTTATTTCCAGTATTTATTTGCCAAAAGTTGAAACACATTCCCTGCATTCAGCTTATCTTAAATAATCATAATATTCCCGTTGCTTAACTCTTCACGTGACTTTTTTGTGTGTTATAGTATCGGAAATAAGTAAGTTGTCATTAATAAAGGTCAATTATATTCGGATTACCCACTGTAAACTAGCATACGTCAAGCAGTATTTGTCTTATTTACTTACACTTCAGGACTGTACATTGATGAATCCATATGGCGTTAAACTCAGATACGTCAGGTCTCAAGAAAAAACGTGGGCATTGAATGGAACTTCGTTGGTTCAAAGTTGAAACATGAAGATTTAGGGAAATATCACTTTTCAATCAGTGAAGGATTTTAGTTTCTCTCTTTTGATATTCGGGACTGTTTCTGTTGCAATATGATCAAGCTACTTCGATAGAGTGCAGTGTCACGAATCTAGATTGTCTGGTTTGTGATTATCTACTGAATACAAAGCCTACGCTTCATCTCATTTCTGACTCATCAGCTGAATGTTGACACTGAAACTTCAGCGCAGTATCTTTCGCTTCAAACACTGAACACATTATCCTCAGAGCTAGTCATCATATAGTTATATGAATTCATTGGCTCAATTGTAATCTTGAATATAAACAAAAACGAACTCACAAGCATTTGTGTGAACGTTTATACTTGTTAAACAGGTTATTGGCTTTATAGAATCATTAGCTCAGTGGATAACGCTATAAGAGTTCGAAGCGAAAAACAACGTGTTCGAGTTAAAGAGTAAACAATTACACTCGAATCCATGTTCATTCATGTGGCGAGCCTTCAATAAAACAAGATATGAGTTCTGGATTCTATTGCCAGTCTCACATAAAATACACTAAATCATTATCGGATTTTTAATCCCATTGGTAATTTACCGTTTTATTATCGACCTACGCTTGATTTTATAAGCTATCACTTTACTTTGACATGTCAATAAATTAAACTTGGAACTAGTCACTCATAGAGAACCTTAATGTGATTGTGAAGAGTTTGTAACAAACTAAAGAAAAAAACAAATTTTAATTTCACCCTAATTTCAATTATTTAATTTTTTTTGAATAATTGTCAGTATACAACAACTACTGATAACTTATCATAACAGGTATAATACAGACAACTAAGTTATATTGTGCAAGACGAAAATTAATCGGTTATCAGCAAAAATTATCATTATAAAGCCCAGTTGTTTAATAGAGGGATAAAGTAAATATTTTAATAGTTGAATTCATGAGTCAATTTAAGTTAGAACACCATTCAAAACCTGGAAGCTCCGGATGACCAGTTCGTCCTAGTTTCATCATGTGCTCACTAGTCACTAACTTCAAGATGGATTTCCTGTAGTTCTAGTGAGATATTGCGATCAGTGGAGTTCAATCGTATCTGTTCTCAGGCAATTTCTCACTGAAGACAATAGAGGACTGTCACATAATATCGTGGATTGGTTGGAGTTAGACATTAACACTGTTTGATGCTGGCTCAATGATTTCGAGAGTAAGCATTCACGTGTGAGATCGAAGGTCCTGGATTTGGATCTCACATATGGGGTCGTGTATGTGCGCTACTGAGGAGTCCCATACTAGGACGAAACAGCCGTCAAGTGTTCACGAGTCCTCAGTGATGGTCTAGCTTAAATCGACTCCTGAATTCAATCATTAAACTTACTACAATCTCCACAAACGCCCATTCTGATAAAGTAGATATTGTATAAAATTAGACACGATTATATAAAATAGGGTGATTATTTTTAATAGATAAATGTTGAGCAAAAATATCTCAGTATTAATATATTTCTAGATTATAAAACTATTTAAAATCAAGGTTGTTTACTCTTACCAGGCAAATCATTATCAATAAAACTATATTGATCTAAATTCGTAGGATTCACAGGGGATACATTATCTGAAGCCTCTGTAGTTTGATGTAAAGCCAATAATCGCCCAATAGGTTTACGACGTCCAATTATTAAACTTGACAAAGCTGTATTTGTATTAGAATCAGTAGATGATGTATTTGGAGCGTTTTGTTTGTCAGATGAGTGAAACAACTTTGATGTTGTAATCGATGAAGCGATTGTAGATGGAGAAATCGAATGTTGACCACTTGAAGAATATAATTTTTTAATCCCACGTACAATAGATGATGACGATGAAGGTGAAGCTTCATTCACATTGATACTATTACTAGTAGAAGTAATAACATTAGTAATAGTAGTAGTAGTACTGGTAGTAATGGCTATTCCAGTAGTTGGTGGATTAGATATTTGAGATGCTGTAGTGATAGTTGGTTCAATAACTGGTTTAGCTAAATCTTGAAGCCTCATACTAGATTTTATATTAGTTGATTTTTCATATATTACAGGATTATGTCTTTTATGCATTTTGTCATGTTTATCAGATCCATGTAATGAAGAAATTGTGATATCAGAACTGGTATTAATAGGAGTTTCTTCAATATTTGCATTGTCTTTACTAAATCCTTGATTCTGTCGATATGGAGTATACAAAGGTAAGGCTCCAGTAAGCAGGGCTAATGAAATAAATTTGTACACGTTACATTATTCAAATTTAAATAAATGTATCAATTGAATAAAGAACTTAAATGATAGAGATTATAATTAAAACGGATTCGTTGAGAAATCATTCCCACATATTGTAAGATGATAAAAAAACTATCAAAGACAATACATTTTTGTTGCATTATTAAACATTTTGCTAATAAACAGTAAAAATCGGTTACAGTTTTCATAATCTTTAGCCTTACACATTATTCGTTTCGTTGTTACTCTGTTATCCGTTAGCTTCAAACGGACTCAAGTATTATTTCAATTCGAAATGGTTTAAATTAACTCGTTATTGATATTTCTTACTAGTATTTAATCAATCTTGTTTGGCATAAAGGTATCCTGTGGGGAATACCTCGTTATAGCCATTACTGGAAAAGTTGATATAGAATCGATAGAATGTGTCTAGTAGTGTGATTCAGGATGACCATATGCCAACGAAGACTGATTAAATTTCAGTCAGAATATCAACAATCGGATTGTACAAACCATTTTAAATTAAATTAAAATGTGTACATCTTGTAAAATTGAACGGTTGTTTGGACTTTGTAACTAAGTGAATAATACGACAGTGTTTGAAACGAGAATTACTGGGTTCAAGACACGGAGTGAATATGAACTCCAAGATACAGGTACATCCGACTGACGAGTTCCAAATGAAAAGAAATGTATGCCCTGGATCCCATTTCTAGTCATATTTCATTTATTCTGTATTGACTAGAGCCTGTTTTCGTGTATATTTGATTGTTGAGTTTTTTTCTTTAGAAATAGATGTCAGCTGAGTAACTCCTGAAAACATGGGGACTGCTGTTAGATATTTTGTTTTAGGATGAAACTTCATAGTACTGAAAACGTATGCTGCTAATTTGAAGCGAGCGCAAAAACTTTAATGTTTAATTGCATTGCATGTATGCTATATGATAGCCAAATAAATTCCGAGTCTAATAAGACGCTAATAAATAAAGTTACTATTTGTGAATCCAACTTATAGTGATTTTAAGGACTTATCATTAATGTCAATCAGAAAAACGGTTCAAGAATATACGTATATGTGATTTTCGTAAATCATATGAAACTAATCACTTCATTCTGTTCTTGGTATGTTGTCACAGTTTAATTTAAAATATGCTTTTATACTTTCTCTTACTGAAATATACATTTTCGGCGAGACTATAATTTAAAGATGAACCAATCACATTTATGATAACAGGTCTTGGGTTTTTGGCGCGAAACTCATTCTTCCATTTGGCCAAATACCATTTCAGTATTATAGATTATGTCAGGTCGTGATGAAAACATTAAATCTAATTTTTCACCATAACATTCAACCATAAATCCTAGTCCCGATTCTTTACACTGATTTATCACCTTTACTTAACCCTGGTAAGTAGAATGATATTCCGAGGTCATTTTAGCGTTGCTCGAAAGTCGTCCATAAATTATAGTCTCAACACACTTTTTGTAAATAGAACAAATGGAATTATTTAGTCATACTTTAAGCTTTATTTTTAATGAGTTAGTTTTAGTTAATTAAGTATGTAAATTTGAAAAAAAATTAATACTCACTTCCTGTAGGTCGAATTTGCGGTGAAACAGATATTGTTGCCGATCTTAATAAACCAGAAGATGGAAGTGTTGTTGTAGTTTCTTTGATAATATTGATCATATTATCATTATTATTACTGTTAGTAGTACGAGTAGTATCGCTGTTGGTTGTACCAACAAGTGTGAAAGTTGTCGACGATGGTATATCAGTATTAATGGTTTTATTGCTAGTAGTAGTACTAACAGTAGTAGCAGTAGTGATAGTTGTTATAGTGTTAACTGTATGAATTTTACTAGATATATTCATTGGTGTATCAGGGACACTATCTACAACTGTACTACAAGTTGATTTAGATCGCTCACAATTAGCTAATGAAATACTACCACGTGCTGAATTCATTCGATTATAATCAGCTATGGTAGTTTTATCATCATTTGATGTAATATGCGCTGTAATTAATTTGATTGGATCATATTGTTCTGATGAACCAAATACTTGAAAAACACGATCAATTAATAATTCAACAACTTTTGTCTGACCTTTATTATCCATGAATTCCATCATATTAGCTACTTGAAATCTGTAAAATAAAATGTATGTGTATGAAACGAATAAAGGTGATAAAAATATTTAGGCCAAAGATTTTTTGGAGATTATTATAACGTAATTGGACTTTTTATCAGGGATTAATATTAGCTGAGGTGTAGTTGAAAACTAGAAAGAATCGGAAAACCATTTTTTCATGATACAAATTTGTTTAAAATTGAAATTCACAATCCTTTCCAATATAAATCCATAAAACCTCAAGTCTAACAGCGTAAGCATTATGTCAACACCACTGAGATAGATTGCATTCATCCAAATAGTAAACTCCAATTAATTAACCTCAGGTATAGTTAGACCCTACCGATCACTGTCTCCTACTGGAACACAGTAAACTGATCTCTAAGCCAGGTGTTACTGTGCACATGACTATATCGTTTTTGTCTAGATGGGAATTTTTGCTTACTGCTGAGACATCGACTTCTATTTAGTCCTTTTCATTGGTATCGAAACTGACGTTAGTTCTTGATGATTGTTATCTTTACATAGAATCGGATACGAAACTTGCTATATGTATAGAATCCTCAGAAAACTGAATTATTATCTAGTCATGTAAACTTAATCAATCAACGGTTTTATCTAGTGCAATCAGTAACATTGTTAATTGTTTATCATGTAGCTCAGCCACATAGGTTACATCTTCTGTGTAGAATGTTGATAATTCATCCTGAAGCTATCTTCTTCATGTTAAAAAATTTACTCAGAACTTCTGAAAAATGAAATTTCTAGATCAGAGTTATAATTCACAAGTTGAAAGTGAATCATTTTAAACGATTATATGCAATGAAATAAACCATATTTAACGTCCTCATAAATTTCATTAGTTAATGAAGACATAATCCTTGTAAAACACACGGTTTAATATACTCATCAACTTCAGATGAAAACATAAAGTTTATTTACAGTATGACTACTTTTTTTAGGATTAAATCCTAACCAATATTTTCTGTTCAAATTTCTGTATGAAACATTTCCTAGAATGTATCTCAAATATATTCTCCGTATTGAATGGATGCCTGACTTGTAAAGTTATGTCTGGATGTAGTCGACAAGAAACCTTGAACCTAGGTATTTCACTACATAAAACTCATCAGTAAAGTGTACCTGTAATCTTGAGAGAACTGATATTTCTTAGCTGATCGGATCTATGAATTATATACATATTTTCTGTAAAAAGATACTTTAGTGAATAATCGAATAAAATGTTACTTATTAGTTTGATTTTTTTAATGTTTAATCAATGTGTAAAATCCATTTCATTAACTTTCTTCAAGTATACTTAGGTCTAATTATTACGTGAAAGAATTGTCCATTGTAACTATGTACATTGTTATCTAATTAAAATGGAAGTTCACACACAAAATTTTAAAAAAGGTATTGTTATATAATGCAATCGGAAATTATTAAGTAAGTTTTATCAGTATGGGGTTGTGGAGATTGTTGAGTTTTTAAATGAGATCATGAATCGATGAATGTTAGACTACTATTGAAGACCTAGAAGCATTAGACATCCGTTTCGTCCCAGTATGGAGGTCATGAGCAATGAGCATCGGCGATCCCACATGCGGGATTCGAACCTATAGCCCTTGGTCTCGTGCGCAAATGCTTAACCTCTAGACCATTAAGTCGGCATCCAACGGTCTTTTAGCCTAATTATTGTATAACAGTGTATAATATGTATTTAGTATATTTTGTTGATATGCGTCAGTTGTTTACAACTAAAAAACAAATCAACAAAACATATCCATTCCCCCACCTTGTATTATTAGTTTAATACTTAGTTAGTTATTACTTCATCAATTCCTAAAAAAAGCCTTTCTGAGCATTCACTATATTTTCATCAATATGAGGTGTTTTTATTTTTACAATGAATGATCTTACATACAGATATATTTATACAATTGTAAGTATTTTCAGTTAATAATTGGTTATTGTTCTGTTCGATCAACGTGTTTTGTTCATCTAATTAAGGTAATGTAAATCACTAAGAAACCAGAGAAAAATGGCGATCATGAAATAGTTATTTCACCTAATATAAAACTGCATAGTATCGAGGATCCTTAAAACTAGAAAGAAACAAATTCACAACTATCTAGACTGGTACAAAGTGTACTATAATTTATAGAATACTAAATTGGTAGATAATGCGATTTTCTCATGATGGGTATTTAAAAAAGATGTGTACAAGAAAGAAATAAGCGATTACTGATTATTAGTTTATAAAAGCTGTAATTAAGAATGTAAACTTTTCTTACAATGTCTTTAAACAGTAGCCAAATAATTCCTAACCTAAGAAATTGGTTATGTTTGTGGAGAAATCGGTGATAATCGGCAAAGCATGATGAATTTACATGATACTGTTTAATTCGTTATTGTAGAAACTGGTCATTATTACAATCCCCATAAGTGGTTATATGGTTGTCAAAATGAAAAATGTTTATAAAAAAAATTTACAAACTCACTTAGGTCTTTGACGTAATACTGTTGGAGCAAACATTGTACCTAAATTAACAGCTCCCATTTGATTTTCCGACTGACATTCAGCAACTCTGTAATGTTATTAAGGTAAAAGTGTGGTAAATTTTTCAGAATTTGTTTATTTTACTACTTAAATAAATAGTATTGGACTTATAAAGAAATAGATTGCGTTATACATTTGCGAACTATACAAATACATTCTTTTACCCTATAATCTAAGCTCTCTAACGACGATATACAATTGGTATATGTGCCCTAACTAGGTAGTCTCAAAGCATCCTATCACAACAATAAGTAACAAAAAGTCAGTAATTATCAATCCATTCCTTTACTGTCTAACTAACAACCAAATATGAAACGGAACTATTAATAAAGTTTATACATTCCATCCACTATGTGCCGAATATAAATATTCAAAATAATTCTTTTAAAAGGTGGTTTATCCAGTGAACTTAACAACACAATAGTATTCCCATTGTGCTAATCTTTGAATTTGTTTTCATTTATACCTTAAAGTAATGTTTGTGTTGTTTAGTTTACCGTTTATTTTACAGTGACCTTCATGATCTTCAAGAAAAATTAAACATCTATCCACACATAATGTCTATGTTTATATATTGTTAGTAAGAGTTTTTATTATCATTCCATTAAATTGAATTTCGATCAATCTACGTTAGTATAAATGTATCCTGACAGAATTACATCGATATAACCATTATGAAACAAGGTTTAAAAATATATGCATTATAAATAACTGTGGAGAAAATAGAAATTCTTTATTAAGCAAGTATTCTAATATATGAAGCTCGATTTCTGAATGAATATGATTCATTTCCGTATTTTATTTAGTTATGCCTTTTAGATCAATATGATACAGCAAATATTGTCTTTTTCCCTTTTTTCAATAAACTAGATCGTACCTATAAATTGATGTGACTTTGTAACATGTATAGGGCGGGCTGCTTGAGCATCTGGGCTACCTGTTCCTGCCATCTAGATATTTCAACAAGTTATCTATTTTTGTTTGTTTTAATATATCATTATGTTTATTAATCGTATAACCTATTCTGCTGCGTTTCTGAAAAGTGTACAACCTTTCGTTGTCAAAGTTACAAAAAACTCAATCAGAGACAATGTGGTTGCTGGCAATATACAACGAAAAAAATGCACATTGTTCAGATGTTCATTTACTGAACTACTAACAACTAGCTGGCGATCACTTGATATTTATCGCCAGGACCGACCAAGAAGAAAGAAACGGAAACTTATTGAAATACTTTACGCTGAGAATTCTATATTGTACCAAAAATATAATGTTGAATAAAGCTGGTAATAATAATATAATGAACGAAAGAAGTCCATTGCGTCATTAAAAAGAATGAAGACTATTCAGTGAAGAAAATTCTCTTTTTGACGATACCATTTTCTGATGCTGTACAAATGTATTTACAGGTAATTTCTTTTATATGTGGAGGAGTTTTACAAAGATATCAAAAGATCTTATGAATTATAATTTCTATTTATTGTCTTCTTCTCCTTCTCTTTTATTAAGTAGACAGTTATCTTCATCTTTTATCTCACATATTTTTTTTATTACTTCCAATTTTGTTACATAACATAAGCTCCTATCGTTGGTTGATTATTTTGTTAAATGGTTCAACCTTTTCTAGTCGGTACTTGAAAAACTTTATTTACATTGAAATGAAATCCTTATTACTTTAAATAATTAAGGATCTCTGATTATCTCTACTATATTATGCAACGTCATATTATTTCAATTGATCTCCGCTTGAATAAGCTTGATTATCTTTGATAATTTTGTAAAAACCTCTTTATTTTACTATAGACAATGTATAACAACTACCTATAAATACTATTATACAGTTTCAGAAAATGATATCGTCGTAAAGAGGATTGTCTTCGCTGAAGCATCTTCGTTTACAGAATATATTAATGTTATTAGAACTAATGTCTTTATACAAATTAGTCAATTTAGTCATAAAATGTTCTTATTATCCTGATTTTATCGAGGTCCACTTAAACATTTTTAATATTTAATAGTTGAATTCATGGGTCAGTTAAAGCTAGACCCTCATGAAAAACATGGAAGCACTGAACGGTCGTTTTGCGCGCGAGACTAAAGGTCCTGGGTTCGATTGCCAAGTATGGGATCGTGGATGCTCACTACCCACGAGTTCCATACTAGGATGAAATGGCCGTTTAATGCTTCCAGGTCTTCAATGATGGTCTAACATCGATCAAATTAAAATATCATTCTAAACTCAACAATCTCCACAACCCTACACCTTATTCTCATTTATCAGCTTAATGTCATTGAGAATCAAAATGGGAAATTGTTTATGTCATAGTTGTGTATTGGTGATAGAAAGTCAGTCACATGTATATTAGCACTTGGTATAAATGTTCATCTGCCCACGTTGCTGTACTATATTGGCAACGAGAGATAAAACTACCGGGATGAATACTAAATTAATAGTAGTATTTTGTAAGTAGTTGTTTTATCACAAACTAATCATTGTATTCCGACTCAGTGGCCTAAGTATGTCTTCATATAGCAAAATAAAACTATTATCAGAGAAGGGTTTTTGTGGATATTATAGTAATTTAGTAGTTGAATTCATGAGTCAATTGGAGCTAGACTATCATGGAAAAGTTGGAAGCACTGGACGGCCTGGTTTCCCATGGTTGACTCATGAATTCTATTACTAAATAAACCATTGTTTTATTCATTCTTGAGTATCCATTTATTACATGGTGCTAAATCAGAACATACCAGTAGTTGAATAATTCCTAATTTCCCATCAATGTTCAAATATTTGGTTCATGATGAAAACCACATTGGAATTCGAACAAATACAGTTATGCAATTACAAATGAATAACCAAATCTATGAAAATAGTATGTCTTTATTAATAAATTGACAAAACTATTGGTAATATCTTAATCGTAGTCAACACTGAAAAAAATTTTTGTTACCCTTTTATTTGTTACCTGTGTAAATGATGGAAAATTAATCCAGCTAATTGACGATTACCAGGACTTAAATGATTAATCAATAGTTGAAGACGTTTCATCAGTTCATCAGTTATATTTGAATCAACCAAGTCAAACGCCTAGATGAATGTATAGAATATTTAGAAGAAAAAACAGAAACATAAAAGAATAATAGGCTTGAATGTAATTTAATTCATTTAACATTTTTGATAGTTGAATGTACGAGTCGATTTAAGTTAGAACACCATTCAAAACCTGGAAGCTCCGGATGACCAGTTCGTCCTAGTTTCATCATGTACTCACTAGTCACTAACTTCAAGATGGATTTCCTGTAGTTCTAGTGAGAAACTGTGATCAGTAGAGTTCAATCGTATCTGTTCTCAGGCAATTTCTCACTGAAGACAATAGAGGACTGTCACACAATATCGTGGATTGGTTAGAGTTAGACATTACCACTGTTTGATGCTGGCTCAATGATTTCGAGAGTAAGCATTCACGTGTGAGACCGAAGGTCCTGTATTGGGTCTCACGTATGGGATCCGTGATCGTCTAGCTTAAATCAACTCATAAATTCAATCACTAGAAGTACTAAAATCTCGACAAAACCCCTTTCTGATTCAATATTTTTATTAAGATATTATAAAATATAAGTTGATGAAAGAAATCTTTCTCGTTTTCCCTTAAAGCTTCAAACTCATATATCTTTATATATATATAAATATGTTTCACAATTAAGTAGGAAATTATTATCGAATAAATGGTGTTAGATCATTTCAACACAACATCTCGATAGATTTGCTAAAGATATTAACTGATCTCTAATTCAATAAATTTAATATAAGCAATGAAAAGTAATTACTTAATCAGTTAATTACTATAATTAATTACGTAAGAATATGAATTCAGCCTAAAATTAAGTAATTCAATATAAGTGTTTATCATTATTTATAAAACAATAATGAGTGATGAATAAAACGGATTAAATCATCAGTTTATTAAAAGAAATTATTTAAGAATAAAATTGGAAATTAAAGTTGAAGAGATTTTGAAAAAAAACGTAAAGTGAACTTAGCAAAAGATAAGGATACATTAAGAAGTTGTATAAACGTTTTCAATAATCAAATATAAGATTTATTAACGTATACATCTATAGCATTTATTGAATGCAAAACCATCCTGGTAACATGAAAGAAATTCAATGGAGTTTTTTCAAATGTTTTTTTGTAATATAAACTCCGATCATTACAGTATCAATTAGATGGTCCAAAACAGATCTCTCCTTTGTTTATTGATCAACCATGCTAGTTCAGTGTTATACAAATACATCCACTTATTTACATGATTGTACGTTTAATTTTAACGAGACAATTTATTTGTGTAAAAAAACAAAATGACACAAAATCAACTATTAAAGCTATAGATCAGTCTATTGAAATAAAATAAAAGTTTTCAGAGATTTATCATTGTACTCACTCATTACGTATTAAATAGGTTGATATAAAATAGAAAATATATCACTATTTATTATTTATATTAGAGATCAAGTGTTCACATGTGAGAATGAAGGTCCTGGATTCGAATCATTTTGGTGTGAGATCGTGGATGTTGAGTATTCATGAGTCCCATACTAGGACGATATGAATGTCCAATACTTTTAGGTTTTAAATGGTGTTCTAACATTGATCAATTCATAATCTCAGTTAGACACCCAACAATCTCCACAATGCTATACTGATAAAACAGAATTATTATTCTTATTGTAGTGTTATTTTGTCTTTATAAGTCTTTAATTAGAGTAAAATATACTTTTTTACTATATCACATTTAATATTCGATCATTTTAATAATGAATACATAATTCTACCTTTTAAAAGCTTGGTGGACTTTTGTTCTCTGAGCTGGATGGTTTGATCGTGAAGCTTTCATCGTTCTTCTGAACGACATCATCTGCACAAACTTCAGGTAGAAATGAAAGCTCCACAACTAAACGATCCAGTTCAAAGAATAAAACTTCATCAAAATTATCATTCGAATAATACAACACTATGGACTTTTGTATTTCTTTATTTTCCAATCACTTTTTCAACTAATCATTGATTGATGATGTTAATCACATATTACATTAAACAGATTCTACAAATACAATGAAATAATATAATCATTGTTGTTTATTTGAATAGTAATTTCTATCTAAATGTAACCGGTCAAATGAATACAAAACAAAAGTAGTTGAATGCTATAAATACCACAAAATCTTGTCAAAATAAATTAACTGTATTTACACTGAAATGACCTCAATTTGAGTTGATGATTGATTTTCGCTAGAAAATAAACATATTTCTATTCATTGTTCCGCTCCACTTAACATATATATATCATTTAATTATGTAAATATAACATTTTGGTTGATATAAAAGTCTACAAGTGAATCGTTAGGTTGTTGAAAACAAAAAAAACATGAAAAGTTAGATTGTAATAAGTTGGGTTATATGCGTTGTTGTCGTTGTTTTTTTCTCACTTGAACAATGTCATGTAGATAAATAACGGTTAAGATGGTTGTTGCCAAACATGAAATTAAACTAGTGAATTTTGATTTAATTTACCTGAAAAAAATGGTTGATTGGCGAAATAATTGTAAGTGAACAATAAGTAAAAGCTAGAAAACACTGGATAGCTATTAAATGGTAGTATAGGACTTAGTTGAGACTATAATTGATGGATGAACCAATTAGATATAAGATAATAGGTGTTGAATTTTAGAGCGAAACTCATTCATCTATTTAGTCAAATAACATTTTGTCATTATAGCTAATATCAGTTCGGGATGAAAACATTAAATCTTATTTCTAACCATAACGTTCAACTATAAATCCTAATCCTAATTCTTCATACTGATTTATAACCCTCATTCAAACCTAGTAAGTAGGTGGACATTTTCAAGATCATTTTAACACTGCCTAATGGTTAGCCATAAATTATAGTCCCACCTAGAACTTTTCAGCAGTTTGCATCACCGATTTCACCAGAAATCGAACACAAGACCTTCAAACGTTAAGATCACTTTAAACCTTTACAACACTGAGTTGGCATTCACTGATTTACTACTTTAAACTTGATTAATTCGTGATATTTCATAAGCATTATTTAGTAATTCAAATATATTTACACATATCTGTTTATAACATTGCTAAGTTATATATGATATCCATGACAGGACTTTAAAAATAAAACCTTGTACGTTTCTAGTAATAAATGACAACTAAGAATTTCTGATATTAATATTTAATCGATTTAAATCACTGCTATTCCTACTCTTCTAAAAAATAATCTGGTTTATAATTTGTGAATTGATAGTTACTTGTTAAGTAAACATATTCTTTGAAGAGAATTAGAAAAATAATATACAGTTCGTATATTTCATCCCTTTAAGAATATAAAGTACATGAATGCGTCTACTTATAGCTTGTTTTTCTGGAAATTATGTATGGTAATGATGTAGAAGGACGTGTTCAATAATCTGTTAAACATACTAACTAGTGAAATCTTGCTTTTATTGTATTATTTCAAAGTCTAGTATGAATTTTGTAAATATCTTATCTCTTAGCTAAATAAGAATCAAATGTTGATCCACCGTTTTGTTCAATAAAGCAAATGTTTTGTATTATAAAACATTAGACAATTTGACAAATTCCATGACCGTTTATAAAGTCATATTAAGTTTATGAATACTTATTTTAAAAAAAACACTGGAGAAATCTGTCTGTAAGATTTTATGTATTTTGTGATTGGTAAGTTTGAAAATGATCCACTATATATGGTTATTGAGAAATTTTGGAAAAATCAGTCTTAAAAAAGATCATTCTTAAATTGAGTAACACAGTAGTAACATTGAATTTTAGTTTTGAATTGTCATAAATTGAAAGTTTTAAAGAAAGAAATATCATCAGAAGGGATTTTGTGGAGATTAAAGTAATTTCAATAGTTGAGATCATGAGACAATTGAAGCTAGACCACCATGGAAAACCTAGAAGCACTGGACGGTCATCTGTTCTTATTGTGGGACTCCTCAGTTGATGTCAGGCATTAACACCGTTGGGTGCCGGCTCAGTGGTCTAGTAGGTCCTAGGTTCGAACCTCCCGAGGGGCGGAGTCGTGGATCCTCACTGTTCACCGGTCTCATACTAGGATGAACCGACTGTCCATTGCTTCCACGTTTTTCATGGTGGTCTAGCTTTAATTGACTCATGATATCAAGTATTGAAAGAAATATCAGTTCTTTGATAATTTCAAATACGCTCTACTAATGGATATTAACAAGTACTAAACATGAATATAGAACTTCTGATTTAAAATTTTAATTTGTTATATTATAGAAAATTCACCGAAAAGATGAATTATTTCAATTAGCAAGTACATTACAAGTTATGCTGTAAAATTCAACTGAAACCAAGTTTTTGACTCCATAACTTTATCAATTAAGAAACAATTTACATTATTATTAGAAATAATTTATATTATACCATTGTTGATAATCTGTACTGAATTTTAACCAGTCTTTATTAACACATTAAAAATGTTGCCATCATCCATAAGTATATTTACTAATTCATTATTACAATTACCTAAATATTTGCTTTACTGATAGTGATAAATTACCATTAACTATAAAAGAATTATTTTTACCATACAATAAACACTGATAAATTTCATATATAAACATTTTTTTAATGATAATAAATATCAGTTGTTCAATCAGATATTTATTGAATATGAGAATACATGTGTTAATCATTTCACAACCAACCCCTCCCCCCCAAAAATATACAAATTTATATGAGCTAATGGATTATTTTCCTAAAGTTGTAACACAAATTGACAGTGATTTATTTATTCTATGTAGGATAGTGAAAGAATATTATACCAATTAAAAATAATATACACCTTACAACTATATATTTATATTTAGATGAATTTTTGTTCTCTGGGCTGGACAATTTAGTCGTAGAGCTTTCGTCATTATTCTGAACGACATCATCAGCACAAACTTCTACTTCTACTTGACGTTAGTGCTGATGATATCATTCAGAACAACAATGAAAGCTTCACAACCAAACCATCCACTTTAGAGGACAAAACTCCACCATATATCCATATTTTAGGATTGCAATATTATTTATAAATAAAACGAATGACTATGTATGTATAATGAGAAAAAAAGCTTGTCTGATTAATAGTTATTTCTTTTTTCACAAAAAAACTTTCTTTAATTTCTTTTCAAAGACTGTTATTTCTTTAACATCATTAAATTTATTCTATACTTTCTTTGTTATTTATTAAAGTAATTTCACATCATATTTATAGCACTAATAAAATTAAGAGAGAATTTAACAGCTGTTTCATTCTAGTTTTACAACTGTTTAACAGTATGCATACATAATCTCAATAGAAATTCAACAAAATATCTTTAGATATCTTGACAAAAGCTTAAAGATTAAAACTTCTTGGTCTCATACAGCTAGCTGACCAGTGATCATTGATATTGATTAGTGATTCAAACGGGATAATTCTGTAACGAATACTATATTCAAAATAAACCAGTTTCTATAAGGTTTATTAAAAAAAATCATATACTGAGATGAAATGAGGTAATCGAAAGGAAATCCTGAACCTAGGTTCCGTGTATTTGGCTGCCAATATGAAGGTAAACCTGTAATCTTTAGGGAAATGATGTTCCCTGAAGGATTCGATCCCAAGTCACTCAACTTCACAGTCACAGGCGTTCTCTCTGAGCTATCCGGGATGCGACTGACCTTTTGTAGGATTGATATATATATATATATATATATATATATACAAATGATTGATCACTGTTTAGTGATCACTGTGATGTGTGTCAAGTGCTTCTTAGTGCAGATGGAATTCTATCGACTGAGTTGTACTCTGGTCACTAGTCCAGGTGACTCGACATTGCGTGGAATATCTCATGGACCAATTCATTTCAACATATATAGATAGCTGTAAACAGTTGACTTGAAAGTAGATGTTTTCCCAATTTCAGAACTGCATAATTTGTTAGGCTCGTTTGACGAGCACATATATAATTTTCATGGACTATTGAAGTTTGATCTGAATATGATGGATTCAGATTGTAACTGTTTATTACACCTTTTTATAATATTTATATAATCCTTGATTATTTAGGTAATCATAATCTAATCAAATCAGTATGTATCGGTTAATTGAATAGAAACATTTGTATTGTGAAGATTTTAATGAATAATTTACCTTAGTTGGAATCATTATTCATTGAATATTGATTAAATAAATTAGAATATGACAAAATATTTGACTCCAGTTTCTCATGATTGTGAATAAAACGATTTTTTATGATCAGTTCCTTCAAATAAACTTTAATTACATTGACTATTACAATGTCGAAACGTTTAGTTTTCTGAAAAGACTTAAACCATATTTCACTAAATATTCATTACCTCAATTAAAGAACTCAACAATCTCCACAATCCTATACTGAAAATGATCTTGTACGTACTAGAAACTAGCTTCACAATGTATTTCCAGGAGTTCTAGTTAGAAGTCGTGACCAGTGAAATCCAACTGTGTCTGTTGTGAGGTAGTCACTCACTGAAGACAATGAAGGACAGTAACGCAATATGGTGAATTGGTTGATGTTAGACATAAACACATTTAGTTAGTCAGCTCAGTGGTCTAGAGGCTGAGTGTTCACACGTGAGACTGAAGAACCTAAGTCCAAGTCCCTTTGGTGCGTGATTGTTGATGTGGACTGCTCACGAATTACATATTGTGACGAAACGGCCGTCTAGTGTTTCTAAGCCCTCAATGGAGGTCTAACATTGATCAGTTCATGATGTCAATTAAAAGTCTTAATAATCTCCACAATTCTATACTGATAAATATTATTCTGTAAGATGTGAAAAACCTTGATCCTGAATTAAAATTATATAAATGAATTGCCGATGGATTTTGTTCTAATATTTTTGCCTTATTGGATAGTGTATATTACAAATCTGCTTACACAAAATGTTTACAATGGATTTATAAACAATTTCTAAGAAGGGGTTTTGTGAAGATTTCAGTAATTTCAATAGTTGAAATGAAGAGTCAATTGAAGCCAGACCACTATGGAAAACCTGGAAGCACTGGATGACCGTTTCTTTCTAGCATGAGACGGCGAGCAGTGCGCATCCACGACCCCGCTTCGCGGGATTCGAACCCAGGACCTATCAGTCTCGCGCACGAGCGCTTAACCACTAGACCACTGAGCTGGCATTCGACGGTCTAACTTCAATCAATCCACGTAATCGCGCCACCGTACACCATTGTCTTTAGTGAGCTGATATCTCACAACAGACCTGGTTTAACTCCACTGGTTGTGGCTTGCATGCAAGACTGGTAGGTCCGAATCTCGGCGGGATCGTGGATGAGTACTGTCGAGGAGTCCCATACTAGAACGAGACGGCCGTCCAGTGCTTCCAGGTTTTCCATGGTGATCTAGCTTCAATTGACTCATGATTTCAACTGTTGAAATTTCTAAGAGGTTAGAAAGGATTGCTCTGGTTGATTTTTTAACAATCCATGAATACATTAAAGGGCAATATTAAGTATTAAATAGTATTTCACATAATTTATAAAAATTATATATATAAACATTTTGCTTAAAATTAAGATTGTCTAACTAGAATTCCTTTTTTAAAAAAAATAAGTATTTAAACAATGTTCACTGTAAATTTAAATGAATCCAACTTACCTTTCCAAGTTCAACAAAATTCGGATAAAGATTGTATGTCAGTAATGGTTCAGGTAACTGTATAATTATGTATATAAATAAACAGAAACAAAAAAAATAGTGAAAAGTAAAGTAGACCTAAGTTTATTTTTAGTTGAATAAGTATAACTAATATTAACAATCAATATTGGAAAAAGTATTTCATGTTAACACAAAGTTTGAAACATGCATTTCGTCAATTTTATAAATCTTTACTATAGTGTTAATGTTCATACCAGAATTCAAACTTAGTGTCTATCACTTCAAACTGTTAACATTTTGTTCATTAGGCTATTAAGTTCCGGTAACTACTCTGTTTAGACATGTTAGGGACTTAAGGATAGTATAGAGACAATCTATTTGAGACTCACATATCTGAAAACAGATTTATTGTCTGCAGTTCACAAATATTAACAATGGATAGATTCGAACCATTAAAACTAAAATATACTTCACTGTTTATATTTTAAAAATTAAGCAACTTTAAAATTTGAACGAAATGAAGCTCATAATAAAAAAATATCTGTATATATGTCAAATAATTAATCAATTCGTTAGTCAGTTAAGTACTCAGTTGATTAAACACTCACTGAACGTTTACATAACATTTGTCTTTTTTTCTTTTGGAATTCCTTAAACAATCCCAGCTAAAACATCTCCGCAAACTGATTACTGAATGAGTTTTGTCTCATGTTGACCAAGCAACTGTTAAACAATTAACTTGTAATCAAATTTTAGTTACTTCAAAAAATACTATTGCAGCTATATCAGTACATGATGAACTAATAAAAGTAATTTTTAATAACAACCCAAGTAGCGTTTTTACTTGTTTTTGTATTGAACAGATAATTTTTATCAACATTCTACTTTATTTTTTTCACATTATTATGATGATAGCAATAATTTAATTAGAAAGTGGTTTTATGAGGAATGATTATAATTTATAGAATTGCGTTCGTCATGGATTGACTTTAGTTGTGGAAGCAATCAATATCATGACCCATTGAACAGCTTATAGCACTCCCAATACCCATAAGCTTGTCTATGTTTGGTTTTGTCAAGTCCTTCAGTTAACGTATTTAATAGACAGTGTTATTCGAACAGCACTAAGTTATGTATGTTGATGTTATTATCATGTATGTATAAACACATAAGGTTGATCACATGTGACAGCCTACGCACAAATCCCTATTTCTAGCTTGTATGTTAATTCTGTAAGTCGCTTGATAAATCAATCGCTTTCTTATAAATATAAGCTTGAATCTTGTTTATTCACTCGATTCTTTATTCAACTTTTAATTCGCTCGTTCGTACACATTAGTATTTCTGCTCAAATTTGTTAAGCGTACTTGTAGCTAAGTCATATGTACCATTCATTAATAAAATGTAGTCGTGGCTTCGTGTTGCCTTTTCAATTCATACACCGTTAAAGTTTATTTAATATTGGTTATCAAGGCGATTAAAATATGAAGATTTAGGAATTACCTCGAAGATAATCTACTATAAAATGTTTCGTCCTGTTTATCATTATTGCGTTCTTTAAGTTTTACAGTTTCATTTTACAAAAGATTGTAAGCCATTTACAATAGTGAATGAATCCATTAGGTGGTTAAAGTATACAGTATAAACATTTACATGAATTACAAAAATGGCAAAATAAAGTGGTTCTATATTAAAGATCACCATTTAAGGTTTTCATATCACTGACGTTTTAATAAAAATAAAAAAATACCCTAAATTGAATTCTTTTTATTGCAAATTACATTAGTTAATAATAATCTAGACTTCAACAGTGTTTTGCATCAAATAGTTCATCGAACTTATCGGTTAAGTTAAATGAGCCACGTGTTGCGTATGCCTGAATACCGATTACCACGACGCGCAATGCTGACTAATGTTGGGAATTGTTAGAAGAAAGTTAGTGCTGGCCAAACCAAAACATGACATCAGTGATTGAAGTCACTAACTTCTAGTCTGAGACATGATGGTAGATACAGACTACTTGGTTGGGGTCCGCGTGACTATCATAATCAATGGTTGGAGACTTCGGGTGACATACCTCAGAATCGATCATAATGGCGTATGTGTATAGACTTTTTGTCTTCCCTTAAACTATGAGACTAAAATCATCTCATATCTTTCTTTCTACGAACTAACTCTTTCTTCCTGTACTATATCTTTATATGCAATCTTTCCTTTATATATTACACCATTGAGTTAACTGCTTCTATGAATCCGGTGTTCATCTTGCTGTGCTAGTGAGGTGTGACATCTTGAACCGATGCACATATGTGACTGGTCCTACGTTGTAACTGACTGTACGTTGTTAAGCTAAATCGATGTAAACTTATAATAAATGAATCATAAGACTATATCACTTTCAATAACAGTGGAAAAAGAATTTAATGAACCTAGAAAAAATAGTAATGTATGATTGTAAGGTTGGATGGATGGTGGCTAGCAGTGAAATCCAGGACATATGTTTTGTCCTGTTTGAGACTGATCAGCTGGATGTGCCAGCATCCCAGTGAATATCAACTGTGGGATGCAGGTAAATCCAGCTGACCAGTCCCAAATAGAAAAAAAAGCGCTTCCTGGATTCCACTGCTAGCCACCATCCATTCAAGATTATAATGCTTGTGACTTAAGGCAATAAGGAGGTGATTCGCACAGTATGCACATATGCCAACAAAAGATTGATCAATGGGAAGATTTAAACAAACAATACAAATCTTTCGATGATTATGATGACTGCATGGTCATAAGGGTTTACACTTTGTTAAATTTTAATTCATCATTTCGAGTGGTTTAAAACAAAAACTGAAAGAAACCAAATGTTTAGTTGTTCCTGATATTCGATAAATTCTTTAATATAATAATTAAGAAAATAAACTTTAAAAAATTTTAGAAAATTCCAAAAAACAAACAAAACACTTACGGCAATCAGTTGTGTTTTCACCAGACTAGCCAATGTAAGTGGATGTTCTTGACTTAACAAGTCGATATCATTTTGAATTTGTTCACTGCTAACTAATTGATTAGATTGTAACAAATCCATTAGATTAGAAACTTTTGCTTTAGACGCTGGTACACGATAAATTCCCTTATTATGCCAAAAAAATCAAACAGACAAAAACAAAGAATAACAACTGATATTTTGTAATTAAACTGTAAGATTATGATACCAAAAAAGAATAAGGTATTTCATTTATTAGAATGGGGGTTTGTGGAAATTGTAGTAATTTCAATCGTTGATTTAAGCTAGACCACCATGGAAAACCTGGAAGCACTATACGACCGTTTTTTCCTAGTATGGGATTTTCCAACAATGCTCATCCAGAATCCCACATGTGGAACTTAAACCAAAATCTTCGGTCTCACGAGCAAACACTTAACCTCTAGACCACTGAGCGGACTAACCAACTGTGTTTATGTCTAGCTTTAACCAACCCACCATATTGCGTAACCGATCTTCATTGTCCTTAGTGAGTAACTACCTCAAAACGGACACAGTTGAACTTCACTGGTCACGACTTCTCACTAGAACTCACGGAAATCTATCTTGAAGCCAGTCATGAGGAATCGTGGATGTGCACTTCTGTAGAGTCCCATTCTAGGACGAAACGACTGTCCAATGCTTCCAGGTATTCAATGGTGGTCTTATTTATATCGACTTATGAATTCAATTATTTCATTTATACCAGGTGGTTCTTTAAAGAAATATTTTTGAATAACAAAACAATGTATTCCCCAAGAAAATAAACAAATTAGTTAAGAGGGAAAATAAAGTAGAATCGGTTCAGAAAAATAAATAAATTGTATTTTATTTTGGTTCGTTTTTGTTGATATTTCAAGTTCTATAAATAGAATTGTTATTTAACTACTGATTAGTTACCGCTTTTTCCAAGTTGATGTTGCATTTTAAGAAAAAAGATTCATTTTATCTTATAATTTTTATAAATTATTGATTATTCTGCAGTGATGGTTGATATATGTGTCTAATCTTTGGTAATGATAGAATATTATCGCTGAAGTTGTGAATATACAGATGTATATCGTATGTCCTAAAAATGGATAGTTGAAGGTAGTCTGTAGGAAATGTTAGACCTAGTTGCAATCTTCAAGGAAAAATGGTACTTGTAGGATTCAAACCTAGATCACCCAGTTTACTGATCTGAAACCTTACGATTGATCTAATCGACTCACTACTGATTTACTATAAGACTGAGATATTTACATTGATTGATTACTGAATAGTGACTAAAAGTCTTTTTCTATGGTCTAATGCATTACTTGTGACTTAATGACAACATTGAAGCAACCCTCACAGAATTTATCTATGCCAAAAGAGATTAATCAAATGTAATTCAAACAACAATGGGGAAGATTCAAACAACCCATAAATAGGAAATTTCATGGTGAGACTATAATTTATGGACGAACCAATCAGATATAAGGTATCAGGTTTTGGATTTTAGCGCGAAATTCATTCAACCGTTTGGTCAAATACCGCTTTGGAATTTTAGCTGATGTCAATTCGTGATGTAAACCGTAAATCTAGTTCCTAACCCTAATCATCAACTGTAAATAATAATTTGGATTTCTCACGCTGCTTCATAACCCTTAATTAGTTGTAGTTAGTAGCCGGACATCCTCAAGGTCACGTTACCGTCACTCAAAGGTCGTCCATAAATTATAGTCCCACTAATTTCATCATTATTTGAATTTACGCATTACTTCGTAAAGAGTAACATTACATGAAAAGAATAACTTCGTGAACATTTGTAATGAGACAACAACTAGACCCTCAGAATACCATGTAACTGAGTAGAAAGGAATAGTGAAAATGATCTTTCGGAATTCGTATTGGTTTAAATGTAATTTTATGTGCATCACAAAGAAAAAACACATGAAAAATTCTATCTGTTTATCAATTTCTAAAAGTTTTATATTTATCAATTCAGGTTGAAAGTTATCAAAATTAGCTATAACATATGGCAATATAATTACGAATTTTTTACTTACATGTGTTGCTAGACCATTTTCTTGTTTTTCAATCGCTGCAATACATCTGGCTACTGGATAACATGCAGATAAATATTCTCTTTCTAAATTAGCTTCATGAATAGCTATTGTTTCTAAATTATCTATCGGATTGATTGGTGGGACTGATGAATTACTAAGACTATTTGTTGTTGAACGTTTATTACGTATTGATTTTTTAGAATCTGGTCGAAATAGATTAGATCCAAATTCAACAATAGTTGACAAAACATTACTACTTGTTGACACTATACCACTTGCAACTCCACCACCGCTGAGACTATTATTATTACTACTACTATTAGCAGTATTACCGATTCCACCACTACTACTACTTCCTCCAGTAATAACACTAAGACTTGTACTATTTCGTCCAGTTGTATTTAATGGCAAATCTGTTGTTTCTGTATCAGAATCAGAGTCTGAATGTAATGAGAGGAGATTACGATGTGCAGCTATCATAGTATATAAAAGAAGAAGTAAGAAAAATGTAGATAAATATGTCATGAGAGACAAGTAATCATAAATAAACAGTCTATAAAGTTTATTAAGTTGAAATTAAATTTTTTTTTAACTATCTAGATATTTTACATAGTTTGAGTTTTAACAGAAATATATCTTGTATTAGGTTAATGCAAAGAATTGGATAGCATCCGTGATGCTTGATTGAACTGCTTATCATATGTTGGTCAATTAAAACTGATAGCAAGACTATAATTTATAAACGAACCAATCAGATATAAGGAAACAGGTCTCGGATTTTGTCGCTGAATTCATCCACTCATTTGATTAAATATCATTTTGACATTATAACTTATGTCAATTCGTGAAAATCTTAACCTTAACCCTCAACCGTAAATCAAAATTCGAATTCTTCACGCAGGTTTATAACCCTCATTTGGTCCTAATTATTAGGTGGACAATCTGAAGCGTCGCTCAAAGGTCGTCCATAAATTATACTCTCACCAAACTGGCATAGTATATATTAAAGAATATCCCTCTTGTGTAATAAACAAAACATTTTATCGAAATAATCTATTCATTGTTGTAGTTGATTTCATATTTATGTTTAGAAAAGGAGAGAGTAGTGAAAAATATGAAAACTTGAATGCGTATTTTCTAATGGATTGATATTTATTCAACAATGGTTTCAAAATTTTTTATTGCATTGACTACTGTCACATCTCATATAGACCGATAATAACAATCATTTTTAATTATACTTAGTTTTGTGATATAAATCTTTTAGTTATGCATCTATTAAGGTTTATGATAATTTGATACCTTAATAGTATAATAAAGTAAGTGATTCATCAAGATACTTTTAAGCGCTCTTAATAAATTTTATTGTTCTGATTGGTTTGATAATTTGAGATTCTCTATAGCCTATTGTTCATTTCAGCAGTATAAATAGTACTTGGGGAAAGTTGATAGAACAAGGACAGGATAAATTTATTTGGACAATGCTGGCTGGTAGCCTATGCTTCACATTAGGTAACAGAAGTATGTAAATAAGCAAATATTGTTTGTGTGCAACTACATAAAATAAATGAGTTGGTGCATTCATTGTTAAAGACATAGAAAACATAAAACTATTGAAGTAAAGATGGATAGTAACTAGCAGTGGAATCCAAGACGCCTGTTTCCTCCCATTCGGGACTCGTCAGCTGGATACACCTGCATCCAGAGTTGATGCTCACCCCGGAACTCGAACCTTGTACCGTTTGCTTCAAACGCCATCACCTTATCCACATATCTACTGAGTACTAATAGCCACCTGCTTGTGCAATGGGATGAAGTTTAAATTCACTTGGTGTTGTTTTACTTGTATCTTCTCATTGTTATTTAAGCCTGCAAATGATCAGTCTCATGTTGGAATACGTGCATTCTGTGCGGATTGCCTCGATATAGCCTTAAGTCACAAGCTTTTTAAGCAAAGATGGGAAAATACAAGTAAAACAACATTAAAAATTGAAAGCGTTGATTGTCAGTTCAGTGATCTAGAGACCAAGCGTCGATTCGCACATTCCGAATCTTGGGTGTGCACTGCTCACAAGTCCCATATCAGGACGAAAAGGCCGTCCAGTGCTTTCAGGTTTTCAATAAGATTTATCTTGACTAGTTCATATTGTCAAGTGAATAAGATGATCTAATAAATAAATGACTAGTTCGAATAGCTTCAACATTTTTTCCCTATTAAACTATAGGACCAAGTTATATTTTATAACATCACTCCATATTGAGTTAATCACCATAAAAGATAAAAATAAATGTTGTATAATTCGTTTTCATATCAAGTGACCAAGAGGTAATAATTTTGTATTTTCTTTATAAATAAATCAAAGCATATCAAATAACTTAAATGTGTAGAAAAGATTTACTTACAAAATATATCTAAAGTAGAGTCACCGGAATCTTTACCCAACCTACTTGTTAAACGACTTGTATCCAATCTATAAAATAAAAAAATAGAAACATTAAAAACTGTTATTGAAAAACATCTGTTCATTTACATGATAGATTTTCTATGTAATTATAATTTTTTTTCATTTCACAAGACTTGGAAATGTTGTACAGTGAATTACTTAATTCATTATGAGCATCAATATTTCTACAGAGTTTTGTATTTGTCAAACCACGACAGAATTTGAATATATTCGGCCATAAATGCTACACACAGCAATACTGAATATCGAAATTTAACTGATAATGAAATGGTGTGAGTTAAAGATGCATTACTGTATAAGCCCTGTATAATACCTGCGCTTATAGACTTATGTTTTAAGTATTCATGTTATTATCCTTAGTGAACTGGACTATCTTTGGTTGAACCTTCAAGTATTGATTTTCAGAATTTTAAGAAGAAATACAGTTTAGTATTTTGAAAAAATCTTTTTATTACAATAGATAGTTGACTTTTCAGGTTAGTTTAATGAAAGTAATCTGAATGAATATAGTGTATATACTCTATTTAGATCTTGTATGCTCGTCACATATTTTCTAGTCAGGAGACTTTATGTGAATTAAAATTAAATAAGTCAATGAGATGAAATGTGTATTTTTGAGATTACGAAATTTCTTGCTATCATAAGAGTTCAACATCATTTTTATGAAAGAGTATGGAAAATGTTTGTTTAGGAAAGATCTGAAATGCAAATCTGGTTAGTATTTTATTTTTCAAACTTTCATTCACGATTGTTCAAGTAAATTTTTATTGATTAAGTTAGCCAATATCAAAAACAGAATCTTCAATACGAACATCAAGATGCTGCTACTGTACGGAGTTCAAACTTCGACAACTACCACAACTATCATCAGAAAGATACAATTATTTATAAACAATTGTCTACACAAGATAATCAATGTCCGTTGATCGGATACCATCACAAACAACCTACTGTGTGAGAGAATAAATTAGCTTGTAGTTGAAGAGAAAATTAGAAAACGACATTGTAAGTAGATAGAACATGAATTGTGAAAATCACCAGACTGCATCACGATGTAAGCACTAAGTTGTAATCCTGAATTGAAACGGAAAACCGGAAGACGAAATAACTCACTTCGTCGAGAATTGGAAGCAGATACCAAAAAGATGAATAGCAATTAGAAACAGATGGAAAAGATTGTCGAGGACCGAGTTGGATGGTGAATAGTGGTGGGCATTCTATGCTTCGCCATGAGAGATAACAAGCGTAAGTAAGCTAAATTACTGTATAGTATTGACAAATAATCAATTATTTTATCTATGTTTAAGGTAATTAGAGAAATTAGTAAAATGACAGATCTCAACTTACTGAGATCACTACAAAATTACTTAAATTTTTACTGGAAACGATAACCACAGATGTATTTTTCTTAATCTCGTTCTCCACGTGACCGTTGTTACTTAATGATTAATTGGAATCGCTGTTAGGTTGTTAAGTTTTGGTGTGTGTCAACATTATTTTTCTAAAACAAAATATTCTCAGTTTTACTATTCCGTTTGACTATATCTTTTTCTACTACAACTACCAAGATTTCTTTCAATTCATGTATTTTTTATATTAGCAACAGAATATTGAATTGTTGTGTACTGGTTTACATTACTGAATTACTTAACAGAACCATTCGTATTTGAGTAACTTGATCTTTCTTAATTCCATATCTGTATTAAAAGTTCTTAATAAACTCAAAACATGTTTATCATATGAGATCAAATGTACTACAACAATATACAACTTAAATATAATTTAATTTTAATTGGAAGGATGAATAAATTGTCATTAACTTTGGGTTTATTATTAGAATCGTCTTTTAAACGAAAACAAAGAAAAAAAAGACGATACAAAAAAAGAAACTTAGCTTAAGTTGTGTTATTTTTTCATTTTACATTAATTATATAATATTAATTAAATCTAAGCACTATAGTAATTAATTTTGCATAATAATGTATATATATTGATAATGAGACAAAACATCTGTCTATCTATTAACCTTTTTAAATTATCTTCCTTATGTCAGTCTTATTGTTTCTAAATATAAGCAAATCCATATAGAACCTTATCAACAACGACAACAACAGCAACAACAAAGAAAACATGAACATAAACAAATGGTTGTTAAGACCAAAAATATAATCATAGTTAATAAACATATGTACTCTTTAAAAAGACAAACTGTATATTACGAAATACATTCTTATTTTATGTTTTTATTGTAAGAGAAAGAAAAAAAAGAAAACAATTGTAAGTAATTATTAAATATAATTTTTATTTAAAAACACAATGTCTGATATCTATGTATATAGAGATGAACAATAATAATTGAACATATTATCTTGTTTAAACATATGAAATGTTGATGACATCATATGAAAATCGCAACAACAACAACGAAAGAGAAAAAAACAAAAGAGAAAAATCTATCGCAACACTATTTATAGATGAAATAAAATTAGATATAAATAATTTTATTTCGTAGTTTCGAAACAATAAGGACAAAATAATAAAGTAGATGTTCTGGTATAGTTTTGATTGTATGAATGATGAAGAGTTGATTTTATAATTAAAAGATATTAAAAGATAGTAGGTATCAAGTATAAGTCTCTTTCAATCTATCTATCTATCTACTTTCAAAGTGAATAATACTAAACTCTCATTAGCTGAATACGAATCGAAACTGATCACGTAAATCTATACTTAGTACATCAATTAATATTGAATAAATAATTACAACGAACAAATTTTCGAGCAATTGTAATACAGTAATATTGTGATGTGGGTTACTTCTAACCAGATAAGTAGTATATAACGGTGGTCAGACATAGAATATATTTCAGTAGAAGGTCAATGAGGAACGAACGGGAACGGAACGCAATTAGTATGAGAACGCATGAACGATGGAATCTGAGACGATGGGTTAATACTTTGCAAATTAACGATTTACTATATGGTTTTCAGATTTTGTTGAGATCCACTATAGTTTTGTGCTCAAATACACTCAGTTGTTTCCACTCGTGTTCTTTATTCACTACAATATGAGTATTTTTTGTTGATAATCTTATCTTTGATTTTTTATTTTAGTTATATCAAATCTATTTGTTGATAGACATTTTCTGATTGATAAAAATTTTACCAACCAGTGGATTATAAGACTTTTCTTATGAATACATTTTCGAATTCTTTAATTTCAGTATTAAACAGATGATGTATCTATCATTCATTTCTACTGTTTATTGTAAGACTTTTTAATTACGGTGCACTGAGCGAGAGCACAAATGAGGACAACCAAATATATTTTAGTACAAAATTACAGAATATCTTGGTAAAATTAAAGAACCAAACAGTAAACAACGTCATTTAAAAAATATCAATCAATTGTTTCAGAATTTATTGTTCTCTCGTTTCCATATCAATCACTTGCTGTTCTCGATCTGTTCTCTTCGATCTTCGTAATCTTCTGCTGCTAGGCATTCTACTTTCGTTTGCTGATATATACTACTTATATCTGTCGACATCAGTAGCACATACCACAATGGTAAAAAGAGACATAAAATGTGTTAAAGTTGAACTTTATAACTGATTGATTGATTGACATATGAAAATTTTTTTTTCGACTGTCTGTTTGTTATATACCAATTATCTCAGGCTTTTAAAGTAGTTCAGAAAATATTCTAAAAGTGGAGGTTATTTTTTGGCAAACTTACTGTTGTTACCTCTCATAGAAACGGATAGAACGCCCACCACTATTCACCATCCAACTCGGTCCTCGACAATCCTTTCCATCTGTTTCTAATTGCTATTCATCTTTTTGGTATCTGCTTCCAATTCTCGACGAAGTGAGTTATTTCGTCTTCCGGTTTTCCGTTTCAATTCAGGATTACAACTTAGTGCTTACATCGTGATGCAGTCTGATGATTTTCACAATTCATGTCCTATCTACTTACAATGTCGTTTTCTAATTTTCTCTTCAACTACAAGCTAATTTATTCTCTCACACAGTAGGTTGTTTGTGATGGTATCCGATCAACGGACATTGATTATCTTGTGTAGACAATTGTTTATAAATAGTTGTATCTTTTTGATGATAGTTGTGGTAGTTGTCGAAGTTTGAACTCCGTACAGTAGCAGCATCTTGATGTTCGTATTGAAGATTCTGATTCTGATATTGACTGACAGTTGTTTTGAGTGTCATATGTTCTTAACTGTAAGATTACTACCTTTCCCTTGACAATCCGGAGTTTCTCCATCAAGTGAGATTGAGTTGGCGTTTTCCGTGTTGTATTTGAGGATCTTGGTGTTTTCTTTGTGTATGTTGAGGCCTACTGCTGCTATTTGTAACACACTATTCGAAACTATTCATGGGCGGTCAAATATAACAGACTCTGGTACCACGAAATAAGTGTCACATAAGAAAATCATCATAGTTTCTGAGAGTAATTATTTAATTTTAAACAAAATATGTTAATAGAAATCCTACATAGCTCTCATAACCTCTTGACAATGAAACGAAGATCATATGTATATATATCCTTATTTATTATAAAGTTGATTCATATGAGGGCATAAAGTTAGGTATAGAATCATTGAAATCAGAATGAAGTAGATAGCTTTATTCTTCAAATATAGTGCTCTTCACCAGTTAGTAGCTATAAAATTACATGCCAATTAGGTATTTTGGCATGTGCGTTAACCTAGAGTTTATTGACAATGTATCGAGGTTAAATACTGTAGCTGATGGATTGAATTTGAAAATGTGAATGCTGAAGTTTATAGGTTTGATTCCAAGAGACTGTGCAATTGCTAGCTGCAAATAATCTCATATGAGATCAAAGCAGCTAACTAGAGCTTCTTCGTTTTCTTATTACTGTCTCAATAGAAGTTAATTCATGATTTGAACTACAGTTTGTCAAATTATATTAATATACAACTGAATCTTTAAATATGAAAAACATTCAAAGAAACTATGCATATGTATAATCATTAAATTAACATACTTTGATTCATGAAATCCATCGAAATGATATTTTTCCGGAATAAATTCAGTACCTTTTTGAATATGTGATTCAACTAATGTACGATAATCACTACATGGTACATAATCTTGATAAGCATTTGCAATCATTTCATACTGATGGTGTGAAAAAAATATGGCAAACAAATGGAAAAACAAGAAAGCAATCAGAATCATAAATTAAACATAATTTAAACAAAACATTATGTACATTACTATTCAAATAGAATATATAAACACATTTACGACACGAGAAATGTATCTTTTCTTTGATGATAATAATTGGAAATATTTTATTTAGATAAATTAAAGATTGTGTTGATAAACAATCATAATATAATATTCGGTAATCATTTTATCGGTAAATGGTCATTGGCTGACCAAGTAATTCAATCGTAAGATTATATACTGCAAAACTAAGTGACATGGATCCGACTCCCATATAAAGTTTCAGTTTGATGGATAATTAGTATAACATCCATTTAATGAGTTTCCTGATGAATACTTTCAACCATTTAACACTAATTAAAGATCGCCGGACACTATTAGCAACAACCTAATGTGGGAGAGAACAAATAAGATCTCAGTGGAGAAAGAAATCAGGAAGAAGCGCTGCAAGTGGATAGTACGCACATTGAGGAAGGCACCCAACTGCGTCACAAGACAAACCCTAACTTGGAATCCTGAAGGCCAAAGGAAAAGAGGAAGACCAAAAAATACATTACGCCGGGAAATGGAGATAGACATGAGAAAAATGAACAAGGGTTGGATGGAACTAGAAAAGAAGGTCCAGGACAGAGTGGATTGGAGAATGCTGGTCCGCGGCCTACGCTCCATTGGAAGTAACACGCATAAGTAAGTAAGTAAGTAAAAATAATACATTTTATTATATGAAGGTCAAGATGTACCTAGTTTTCTTTTAAAAAAATTAGAAAAGTTTTTGTCTACAGTTTACCAGCTTATTAATATTTAGTAATGATATTGTTAGTTATCATTACTGAATGTAATAGTCTATATAGTCATAACTGTCTCAAACAAAGAAATGGATATAATATTCATTATCTATTTTGTGGTAGTTTCATACTGCTTTATGAAAGCTTACGACAAATAATAGTTTTATATTATAAATAAATCATTTAAAGAATTATTCTATTCACTTCATATATATACAATATTGTTATGGGAATTACTACTTATAAAAGTATTGTCCAGAAAACTTGTTTAAACTTCTTTAGATAAATAATCATAATCAAAATTATTAAGGAAATATATCATGTTTATTAAGCAAATCAAATTTATATTAAGTGCTTAGCCAAACATATTCAGTTGTTAACTTTAGTAAGTAGGATAACATGAGAATTATGTGAAAAGTTCACAATATGAAGATAAAGGGATGAATGATTGTGTGTGTTAATGCATGTATAAGTTTGAGTTACTAATAATAATATGTGTGGTGTATGCTACTTATGCCAACAGAGATAAGTAGTATGTTGAAGAAAATAGGAGGGATAGAAAGCAATTGTAAACTGGAAGAACCATACAAGAAATGCTATCTAGGTGATTAACAAGTAATACAGTTGTATCTCAATACAATTCGTGGAAGTCATGGTAGTCAGAGGGGTTAGGGTTTAACTTTGATTCTTCTAAAATCATCATCATAAAAAAAATTTTAAACTCGGTAAATAATTTAACTCTTGACTTCTTTTACATTCCAGATAGCTTGTTCTTCATTAGGATTCCAAATCTAGCTGAATTAACCAACCAGTTAAAACTATAAAAACTAGACAGTTGTATCATTTTCGTACAGAGCTCCTGAGCTTTGCATACATACGACTTCATTAGAGATTGAAGACAGAACCTACAGTTCTCACAGGGTAGGCCTAACCGTTAGACTGCTGAACTGGCATCCAAAAGTTGAGATATCTCATCTCAACTAAACAGCTATATTTTACAATCATCATCAACTGTCTTTGAATGAGCAAGTGTTTGTCATTTAAGAGAATTGAATTCCACTGACCACAACTTCTGACTAGAGCTCAAGTAAGTAATTGGTTTTTAAATGATTATTCGTTTCGTGATCACAGTAACATTCAACAATCCTGATAAACCCTGTATAGTAATAATTATTAATTATTTGTTGACAATGAATTATAAACATTTTAAATTATTTTATTAATTATAACTGAATATGAAATAAAAACAAACAAACAATGAATCCATTTTATTCTTTGTATATATCATTATTGTTACTTTATAAGTGCCAAAACTAGATACTGAAATCTTTGTAACTCAGTTACATACAATAAGTTTTCAAATCATTTACATATAAATTAAATGTTCAATATAAATGATACAAATGAAAATTGTTAGAGTCAGTTGTATAGTTTTCATAATTTACCTGTTTTATCATTAATGAACGAGTTGTAAACAAATGGTTTAATAATTCCGCTAAAGAATCTTTAACAACTTCATCACTTTTTGTTATGGTTAAACGTGTATCGCATAAAATCTCAATCTATAATTTTTAAAAGCAACAATAAGGATCAACATTATTATCAAAACAATAATAATAATAATGTAAATCATTGTTCAACGATTGAGTAATAATGAATTAAAACAGTATTTTTATTAACTAATGAACATAAAACAAAATATATTGACAAGAATTAGTTGATCAGTGTTAGTCTTTTTTCATTTGTTTATGATCAGAATGTAAATCTAGAGATTAGGCGTTAGCGCACGACACCGAAGTTCCTGGTTTCGAGTTTCATATGCAGGATCGTGGATGAGGATTGCTGAGGAGTACCAAAGTAGGATGAAATGGCCATTCAGTGCTTTCAGGTTTTCAATGGTGGTCTAACATTGGTTCATTAATGAATTATTATCATTTATAACTTCCTACTGTCACAGAATGTAAGTTTTTCTTAAACTTCAGAACCATATCGTTTTTGTATTGTTGTAATCTTTGGGCTCATAGTGAATGATTTAAAGTTTTTTGTTTGAAATCAACGCTACAGACTGTGAACTATAGAAAAAGAATCTTTTGTTTCAAGTTTTGCTCTACTGATTACAAATTCGACTATAAACTACATAATAGAGCAATGCACTTCGAAGAACACAACATCAAACATGTGTTTTAGCTAATTGTGAACTAAATTTATTTATATATGATATAGAGAGCAAGAAACGTTAAACAAATTATTTTTCTCTGAATGAAAACGTGTCTGTGATATAGAGATCGCTATATGAATAAGTCATATGTTGGATCAAATCAGTACTTTTTAATTCCTGTTTACCAACCGTACTTTAGCTAGACTTAAATCATGAAAAAAAGATGTTTTGCACACAGATTATTTCTTCACAAACTAATCAAATGAATAACATTACTGATAACCACAGACTTCTGTTCTGGACTAATTTTATGATGTTTTAAAAGAAATATTCAATAGGAAAAGGTCTATCAACTTTAAAATGATAGATGATAGCTTATCTACTAAGATTAAATTAATCTATAACAGCATAAGACCTGATACAATTATGCAGTATTTAACTAGCTAAATTTATGTCAATAAAAACAAGATATTAACACCGTATAAAACAAATGATTTAGCATAAAAAATATCAAAGGCTTATGAAACGAAGCAAAGGGGGGATATAATTCAAATCAGGAAATTTAATGCTTAAGATGACTTTGAAAATCAAGATGGAAATCATGTGGAAGAAAAAGAGCGACTACAAACACTTCGTTGCTGTCGACTTCAATTCATATTATCTTCAGACACACTTTTCAATAATTACGGATTGATTCATTTTCTCAATAAATGACCTATATGATTCAATTGAATTAAGCGTGATACAGTTCGAATCACTGAATACAAATGAAAAATCTATCATTTCATGGGGGGATAAAATTAGAAAATTTAAAGTCAGGATCTGAACTTTATGTTTTCAAAAAAAGAAGGAGAGGTGATATGATGGAAAGAAAAGTTAAAATTCGTTTGATTTACTCATAATGAGTTTTGTTCAACATTATTACCGTTTTGATTCAATGTAATGATTACTCAATGTAGTATTCGGCTTTGCTTTCTCGTATGATATTTTATTCTGTATAATATACGATATTCGTGTATTCCATTGACATGAACTATGTTCAGTATGTGATTTGTCATAGCTGTAAGTATTTTTCATATATGTGATTTCATCCTAATTATTAACCAAAATGGGTGTACAGCCAATATATAAATGAGTGTATTTTCGACTAGAGTCGTCGTCGTGTTTTGGGGTTAATAAATCATCATTTATACCAGTCTTTGTGTTCTTACTTTTGCGTCGTGTGAATTGCACAGGTCCCTCGTTAAGCGTTTCCGACACAACAATCAGCGACAACCAGACATAACAAGTACCGTCCAATCCGAAAGACTTATCAATGGCGACAGGGATTTCGGAAAATATTGACAAGACTTATCAAAATAGAAACCAACCATTGGGAAATATTTTCTAATGTCGAATGTTTTTATGTAATGGTTTATACTTCACATCAATAATTATTAAGACAAATAAAATCATATACTTACAATTCAAATAAATCGCTCATAGAATTTATAACTTTTAATGACTTATGTATAGTTTAAATGTTTAACTATGGGTTTTTGTTTTCTTCTATCAAATGAAAATTTGTAATATACACATTGATCTACTAATACACAACATATCCCAATTAAACTAATTAATATTTACAATAATTTACAAAATTGGATTATATTAACGAAAAGAAGTTTTTTTCTATTACGTAACATGTTATGTATGATTAACGAAAAAGGAAAACCTGACAAACATTGATTATTATCAGAATGGGTTTTGTGGAGATTTTAGAAATTCCACTGGTTGAAATCATGAGTCAATTGACCACCATGGAAAACCTGGAAGCACTGGATGGCCGTTTCGTTCTAGTATGGGACTCCTCAGCAGTGCGCATCCACGATCCCGCCCCCACGAGATTCTAACCCAGGACCTACTAGTCTCTTGTCAGGCGCTTAACAAACCAGACCACTGAGCTGGCCGGCATCCAACGGTGTTAATGTCTAACATTGATTATATTAATTAAATAATATTTATAAGTATAGCCATATATCTAAATTGGAAGAGAATAGACTTATATCATTTTTAAAATTTGTAAATAGTTACAGATATTTGATAATCAACGAATTCATAAGGGTTATAATATTTAAATGATAAATGAATTAATTCAATATTAATAAATGACATGTAATTTTGCGATGATCTATTTCGAAATTTGTACATTATCTTTTTTGTTTAAACACAATTCCATTTAATGTTTCACATTGAATTATCAAGGCTGTCTAAATATCATTTTTAGCTTTGGCTAATTACCATATTGATTTTTATTATTTTCAAGAGACTGGAATGATTAACCGTTATTTATGGTTCCTAAAAAATGATCATAGTAAAGTTACTAAAGAAAAATATATATTAATTGTTGACTGACTAATGATTGACAATGTCTTTTTTGTTCAGCTTTTTATATTGAACTGTAAAATGTTATTGGAAAAATGGAATAGTGGTGATTATATTGAGGAAAGAGTTAAGGACGATGTTAAAGTGATTATTGAAATATATTGAGTTACTTTGTTCAAATCTGTTTCTTAGCACTTCAGTTTTCAAATCAACTATTCAGGATGATTTGTGATAATATATAAGAGTTGATTAAGTATACTTAACTGATTCATTACTGACAATAAGTAAGGTTATTGTGGGATTGTGGAGATTGTCAATTTTTTGATTGAGATCATGAATCGATAAATGTTAGACTACCACTGAAAATCCAGAGGCACTGGATGGCCTTCTCGTCCTAGTGTAGGACTCCTCATCAATACGCATCCTTGATCCTACACACGAGATTCGAACCCAGAACGTTTCATCTCTAGATCGTTGAACCGGTATCCGACGGTTTTAAGGTTTAACTTCAAACAATTCACGAAATCGTGCGACCAACTTCCATTGTCTGAGGTAGATACCTGTCTCTACGTGACACGGATTAGATATAAAGTTGTAGTCCCGCGCTTTGGACTGTGGATGTGTATCGCTGAGGATTTCTGTACTAGAACGAAAAGGCCGTCCAGTGCTTCCAGGTTTTCAATGGTGGTCTAACATTCATCGATTCATGATTTCAATAAAAAAGTGAGTAGGATGCTTGACATACCTAATTTATTAGTACTAACCAAAATATCTTTTAGTTTTCCTTATCTAATATGTGTTGCAAGATAGGTATATGATATACTATTATAGCATTAAACTAATCTAAATCATGAATACTGACAGCTAACCAGTTTATTATTTTTATCTATTAGTATCCGTCTTGTTCAACACTTTAATAACAGATTTTATCCATGTTATTTACGTTGTGATTGGTTGGTGTCAAAAACCATTTATGATCACCACTTCTTGGTCAGATGCTTGAGTTACTCTTCGTTATTTGCAAAAAAAGTATTAGGATATAAAGACAGTTTTTATCCCTACAAAACAGATCAATAGACTATATGGTTTTTCAAGGTATTGGATCATTAGATGATTGAATATAGTTGGCGCAAAACACAGCACTTTGGTTTTATGTTAGTTGACATTCGTCAACGAAGTCTAACTACAACCTTGAGTAAACTGATGATCCCTGTGAAGGGAGAAAAATCGTTTGTTTTGAACATTGAATATCCGAACGGTATTGATTTTATACTCAATTTTAAAATATACACATAATGAGGAGATAACTACAAGAAACGTTTGCTCACTCAAGCTGTAAATTAAAAATAATCACTAAATTAGAATGAATATTGTCATAGGTAAGTTCAGTATAAGCAAAAACTGTTTTATTCTCACAAGAATAGGGGAAGCCAGAATTTTCATACGGCTGAAATTTCATTTTAAAGCAAATTTATACTACTCTATGAAATCTGAGTTTTGATCAGAGATATAACATTTTGTGACTGGGTGTCGAGCGATTAACATGGACGGACATTTATCACTACTTCGTAATTCATTCTTTAAATCTTTAGCTTTGTGGTGTTACCTTATTACATATGCATGCTTTCTTACCTATAAAATGTGGTCAATCATCTGTATGTATTCTTAACCAGATACACGTGTAAAATCGGTAAAAATAATGGTAAATGACACAAAGATGCTCGTAATTCTCATGCTGTTGGGTTTTTGTAGTTTTCAATCTAAATGACCATGACTAAATAGTAAGTTCGACTGACCGCTGATCAAAATATCACTTCTAATTTGTGTGTTCGTTTAAACATGTTTCTCCACATCCTAAAATGAAATTGATCTTAACTCAGTAGAACTAATCAATCACCTAACAGATTTTAATGAATATCCATTTAGTAGCTATGTTTTATTTAATAAATCATCGTATATTTTTATAATCAAAATATTTATAATTGTTATTCTTATTCTTCCATAGTGATTAATTGTTATTCAAGGTTAGAATCCTTTGTTATTACAGAAAATACTGAAAAAAAATATTAATGAATACTTAAACAAAGTAAAACGATTTGTTTTTTTTAAAACCTAATCTTGCCCCTGGTACGGCCGAAAGTGGGGAGAGTTCGCTCTCCCTCTCCAAATGCTCTCACATGGCCACGCGTATATAGCTTCTGCCGGGGAAGTCCTACTCACTGTTTTCTCATGGCGGGGGTGTTGTTTACGAAAATGAGAGAACGAAAAGCGAATGTCCGACGCTTCAACCGGATTCCAAACCAATGGTGCACATGGGCTCTAGTATCCTGCGGGAATAAATGGCGTATGAACCAATTGTTGGTCACCGGCTTCCATGGGACTGCATCTCCTCACGATGCTCCACTGCCTTGTGGATCAGACCTCCAGGTCGAAGGCTCGGGTAGTGGCCTCCTAAGAAATCCACTTGTTTCGGTTTGGGCACCCGGGCAGTATCACAGCCCTCACACATATCGAATGAGATTTTTGTGGTGCATATGTATTTGGTGTCTCCTTGTACCAATGTCTATGTGTTAAAATAAATAAATAAATACACTTATAAACTACCTTGCTTTTTTCCAGTTCACATAAACGATGATTTGCAATATCTACTGCTTCACGATAAGCATACATCAGTTCAATTTCCTGTTGGAAAATAACGAAATTGTATAATACATCACAAACAAGAATTGTTGTTTTCATTTTCTTTTTTAGTTTTTAAAGAAAAAATATAGTAAATAATAAGGATACAATAAAAACATATGAATACATTGAGAATCTAACTAGTTAACAATTAAACACTGGTTTATAAATGATTATTAATTGTGAATAATTCAACATGTAATCCACCATGATCGGTCTAAGTATCTTGTTATTTTGTGTTCATTATAATGTTTGACCTGTACTGCTGAGGGAACTTACTATCAGGAGTATTTTACTGCTTTACAATCAGATTCTCCATCTTAAACATAACTACTTAGCTATCTTGCAGTGATTGGTTTCACGTACGATTCATACATGCAATGATTAGTCACTGAATGATGACCATAATTATGTTTGTCAAATTCATTTTTATGCTGATCAAATTCTATCTTTCAAGTTACCATTCGAGTTCTGGTTTATGTGACTAGACATCGCTTACAGTAAGTTGAGGGAAATTGTTAGTACTTATTATGATTGTCATTATTTACCTTTTTGTCATTATCACCTAATTGTTTTTCTAATCGTTCAACTTTTACTCTTTGTTTAGCAACTTGGTTTGATGTAGAAGTTGATAATGATGAAGTTGGATTTGATAGATTTGATTCACCAATATTTGAATCATTCAATAAATCTTGTGTTAAATTTGCATTACTTCCAGCAGTTGAGCTCATTAGATTCGATGAATATGAATTCCCAGCAGTATAAACAGGTAAACCTGAAAAAAGATTTTTTTTACACAATTATCTATCATAATTAAATAATTCACCTGATACATTTGTTTGTGTAGGTGGCATTATCGTAACAGATGAAAATGATGATGATGGTGTTGTTCCTGTTGACGTAGATGTACCACTAAATGAAACTGACGATGATTGCATAAGAGAAGCAGATAATTCATTTAGAAGATTTTGTGCTGTAGCTAATTCTTCACGTAATTTTACACCAGCTTGACAACGTTGATAATATGTTGTTTTTGTTTTAAACAAACTATTTTCAGCATCTAACATACGTTTTACATCTGCTTTCCATTTGTCTTTAAGAAATTTCCTGGTTTTTTCAAATAAAGTACGTTGACGATTTAATACCTAAATATGGAACAATGAAAGTCAATCATGTTAAAAACAATACTTTAAAAATGAGAAAGAATACTTATATATATATTTGACAGTTTGGATTTTACGAACAAATAAATATTTAGAAAAGTCCGGAAGTATTTTTATATCAATTAAGAGAGATTTACTAGGTCAGAATTACTGACAAACGTGAGGGGGAAACATGTCAAAGAATTTACAAAAGTATAATTCTTATACAATATTTCTCTTATATTGGCAAAACCTGTAAGCGACTTTTATTTGCTGTAACATAAAGTTTAAAAGTTTTGAAATAAAACTGATACATTGGTAATTTTCAATTATTGAAGTAGAAATGTTTCAGAAGGGGTTTTGTGGAGATTGTAGTAATTTCGATAGTTGAGATCATGAGTCAATTGAAGGTAGTCCACCATGGAAAACCTGGAAGCACCGGACGTCCGTTTTATTCTGATAGGTCCTGTGTTCGAATCCTGCGAGGCGGGGTCGTGGATGCGCACTGCTGAGGAGCGCCACAATAGGACGAAACAGCACTCCAGTGCTTTCAGGTTTTCCATGTTTTTCTAACTTCAATTGACTCATGATCTCAACTATCGAAATTAAAAATGTTTCATTTAGTTATTTAACGTTAGTTAACACGTTAATACAGAAAATGAGGTATGTTATAACTGAAAAAGAAATTCAGTCATTAAGGAACAAAGTTTGACAGAAATTGATTGTAGATATGAATGAAAGAATTTTAAATTTATGAATTTTATAAAATGACATTTTATCTTAGTCATCAGACTAAGCTACTAAATCATGAAGTGTCTTTCACTTTACAACGTAGCTAGTGACAATTACAATCCGAGTTCTATGTACAATGTCTAAAATAAAATTGTTCTTCATATCAGATATTGACTTGAATTATGTTATTATTTTCATCTTTTGATAGTGCTTCCTCCGAAATACTAAATCTAAGATGAAATCAATGTGAGCGTTTATTTTAATATTGAATCACGTATTTAGGAGCTTAATTGATCACTTAGTGCATAACAATAATCAACTTCACTTATGAATTATAATAAAAGACTTTTAAATAGATGTGACTGTGTTTATGCAATTCTAAGATAAAAAAAGATGTGTTTATACGCTATAATCGCAAATATAGCCAAACAGACTGGAAGCTTGAGTTCTTTCCAGAACATACTTCATATTTTAAATATTTGTGTTAAACATAGAATTGTGAGAAAAATATTTAAGGAAACTATCCCTCGTTCCCACTAATCTGACAAGCATCGGTCAGGGAATAAGGCAATAATCAAGCTAAACTATTTAGTTATACCTCAAGACCGGATGGTTTAAGAAGTATAGTAATCAACCAATGTTAAAGTTAAAAAATAACAAACAACCAGAATAGTTCAATATTTATTACTGATTAATAGTTCAAGATTGTTTCTGTAACCGCTAAATATAATATTAGAAGATCATTTATAGTCTTTAGAAATCTGTTGAAGTAACAAATGGATGGTAATGAAAACGATGAAATATCGATAACCAGGAATATAAGGGAGATAATAACTTGAGATGATTTTATGGTTAAAATTTGAATTTACATATATAATTACGTTACATATTGTACTTGGTTCGTTGCTCGAACCAGCTTACATTTTGTTCACAATGTTAAATGTTGAAGTTTATGTTGTTGTTAATGTTTTTTAGTCTATTGCAATATCGATCAAAATTCAGTCGGGTCACAGTCTTGTGAATTTTACAGTGTAACACAAAATATCATTTCAAACATAATGAGTAGTTACAAATTACATGTTATTCACCAATGAAATGCAAAGCATATAAATTCGCTCAACTACAAATATAAAAATATTAGAATTACAGCGGGAATTTTTTACCAAACGTAAAAAAAAATAACATTAATGTCCAACACATAACGTAACCAGATGCCCAGTTCCAGTGAAAAACCATGAATAATGAAGTTCGACCATAAGAATGAGACAAATATCACTAATGACAATGGACGAAGGTTGTATGATATTGTAAGTTGACTGAAATTATGATTGTAAACCATTGAATACCAACTTAGTTGTTTAAATATTAGCTGCTCATTCCAATGTCTAATTGTACTGGGTTTAATCTCTAGTGAAATTGATAATGAGTATTGCTAAAAAGTCTCATATATAAAACTTATCACTATTGAATAATTTTTGGTTCTCAACTGTTTTTATTAGTTCAGTTCATAATTTACATTACAAAATTGTTCAGCTATTAGTTTAAGCTGATCTCATCTAATGTAAAATTATTTTAATTCAATTTGTTATGATTTAATTTATCCTTTTATTAATATTTCAATTGAATTTCAATCAATCTTCATTTTCAGATATGAATCCTATGAAAATTGTCTTGATATAATTATAACATCATAGGTTCATGTAGTTGATCAATTCCAAAAGTAAATGAAACATACAGCCTAGTTTTATTCACTAATAATCTTATATTATTCATTATATATATATATAAATATTTTTACAATCGGCTAATTAAAACTAAAATCTATTTTATTATTAAAATACCTTTATATATTTGTTCGCTTAAAACAATAATAATAAGCTAACAAATTGTACTGAATTATCATTCAACCAGTTATTTAATAAATAAATAAATAAATAGAATAGAATAGAACTACAATATACAAACATGTTTATTTTTATAATAAAAAATCAAATATATTTCCTTAAAATATAAACATTGATCGATAATATTTAGAAAAAAAACAATAATGAAAACGAAACCAAGAAAAAAATCAAAAAAGTGACTTGAATGGTTCATAATATGAATTGATTTTTCTCATTGAAAATTGGCGCCAATTGAATAGTATAGTAAAACAAGTGACATTTATCTAGAAAAGTTTCTTTAGTTTAATAGTCGAAACAAAAAAAGCACCCCAATAATTTAATTTGTACTTATTCAAGTAAAGTTTATTTCTAATAATAAATGACATGTAGAAATTGAATTATTCCACACAACAACAAAAACCAACATAATATCTTCCAATCTTAGATTTAATATTTATACAGGTTATTAACCAAACCTTAAAGTATACTACTTAAAATGTTACTGCATGTGAAATGTATGGAATAATGAAAGTTTCTTTTTTTTCTTTTTTTTTTAAATGACTTCACTACACATTTATTGGTAAGCACTTATATTTGCGTACAGTTATTTTTTTTCTTTTCTTATTTTAATAATGGAATAAATAAAACTGTAACCTAATACATAAGCACATTAACCTTTAGGAAGAAAATCAAACCTGTTTTTTTCCTTTTAGTATTATCAGGATAAATAGTAATATATACATATATATACAGGGAAATATGCAATAGAGTATTTCAATTATATAAGCAAATTGTTCTGTATATATATATATATATATATATATATATTATATATATATATATATATATATGGATATAGCTAGGTATACAGCTGAAATAAAATGATTATGTAAACGATAAAAAAATGCATGTGTTCATATAAGAAAAAAAATAATGCACATAAGATCATATAAATATATTCTATGTTCATATATATATATACATATATATATATATATATATATATATGTGCTAAATATAAACTTATTAGCAGCGATCTCACCAGCACTAACATTTGTCATTTGTTAAGAGGTTAACCTGTTCAAAAAAATCAATGACGATAACTATGTCAGATATTTAAATCTTTAGATATGTGTTTTTACATAATTCTGTCCATCTGTCTACTGAATAACTAAAGAATATATATATATATATATATATATATATATATATATATATATATATATATATATATATATGCATAGGAACAACGATAATCGTAGCACCCATGATCTAGCTAACAAGTAGGCAAGCAATCATGAAAGCAAACGCACAATGCTTCTATAGATACATTATAAATTGTACTATTTCAAAATTAGCTACTATATATATACATGGATATATCTATAAACATAAACAGATTCACACATATTTACCCATACATGTTATTTAACAAAAGGGGTAAGCTATAAGACAGCATAAAATGTTTCAACAAAAATTCAAGGCAAAAGTTACGATATATATATATATATATATATATATATATATATATATATATATGGCGAGAGAATGTGTGGGGACGGTTAACAGATAAGTAGGTAGATAGGTATAAAAACGATAAAAGTATTTGTTTGCGATCAATATTCGGTTTGAATGTAACAAAAGAATGAAATTGCTTTAAGTGTTATTTGTTATGCATACGAAAATATATTCATTATTATGAATTACAGTAGTAACTGTGGTTGTAGTATTAATGTTGTGAACGAGAACATAAGTGAGGACAACCAAAACTTATTTTAATACATTTCAGAATATCTTGGTAAAATCTCAGAACCAAACAGTAAATACTTCATTTGCAGCATGTCTATCCATTGTCTCAGACTTTGTTGTTCCTTCGTTTCCATACTAATCACTCACTGTTCTCGTTCTGTTCTATTCGATTTTTCTCAACCTTCTGCCTCCAGACATCCCACTTTCGATTAGTGATACATAATACTTATATCTGTCAACATCAGAAGCACACTCTACAATATCAACGTGAAATAAAATTTATCGTTCAGTGTATTTAATATAATCAGACAACATGAAATGATTATAATGTAAGATATTTTGCACGAATCTATATTTATTCATAAAATTTGAAAGTTTAATTAAATTACAAATACAGGAATATTCCATCTACATTGAAATGTTAATATAGTGATAAACTAGAAACAGATGAAGCTATTTAACCACTGTCTAAATAAATGAAAATAATTGTCCGATACAAATTATCTTTCGGTTAAGAAAGTCGATATTTTAATCAGTATAGGGCTGTGAATACTGTTAAATCTTGTAGAAAAATTGTGACTAATCAAAATCAACTGTATCATCTCTGAGGTGTTTTTCAACTAAAGACAATCGGAGAAGATCACGCAATACGTTAGTTGGATGAAGTTGGACGTGTAAATCGTTGAATACCAGCTCCGTGGTGTTGAAGTTAAACATTTGCGTTTAAATCCACCTATTTTGGGGGTTTGATTCCTGGGTCGTAGATGCTCACTGCTGAGGAGTCGCATACTGGGACAAAACAGTCGTTCAGTCCTTCCTAGTTCTTAATGGTTGTCTGTTTTAGATTGGCTCGTACTCTCAACAAGATATTTCATGTCGGTTAATCGGTTTTTTGCTATTTTCACCAATGTAATGGAGACTATAGTACTCTCCACTATTCTGAACTTTGACTAATAACAGTCCAATGACTTACATTATCACTCAGATGACATCTAAGGAGTTTTAATTTACAAATATATCACAGTTCCTCGATACAACTATGTTTCATACCACAGAACTGTGCAATAAAATGACTATATTTTCACTTTTTTCATCACTGAGTTAAAACAAACGTTTTTGGTTCATAAAATATAAGGATAATGACAATTTATGTTTATTGTAAAGCTTTTCTAACCTAGTTTACCTAAAAGAAATGTTAGCTATGTCTTAATTAAGACGATGTAAAACAACACCAACTAAGAAACCAAATAGAGCGCAAATGTGATGAACATTGGGATAGATTAATATACATATGACTGGATCATGCTCATCTACATGCCTTACTTTTAAGGTTATTATTTTGTTCATCTAACCTACAAATCTTTCAATTAGTTCTCAAACATGATATCACATATAATTATTTCTGGATAATATTTATTACATTGTATCAACTTTCAGCTAAATCCATCCCACTTTATCAATTATTACAACTGACTATTTGATTTCTTTCATTTTACTTATATGTTAAACTTATTCTCGCTGGTATAATATGACGTCATGTATCTTCCAGTTTTGTAGGAAGGTTGTAAGACCTGATTAGTTTAGTTAATATCGCCTTTCCGATTAGTAATATATATATATATATATATATATATATATATATATATATATATATATATATATATATATATATACAATCCTTTAAATAGCTGTTTATATTTATCCATAGATCATATAAGAATGTACATAAGTTATTTGAACAAATAGTATTATTATCAACTATATGTGGATGTCATTTCCATCAACTTGGACTAATGAAACCTAGGAGATTATAACAAAGCAAATCAGTATATAATGTTTTAACTAATGTAAGATTTCAATTATGAAGATCGAATTGTTATGAAATAATAATCATCACCCTTATTCAACTTCTAATCTATCGCAAGAAGCTTTGTTTAATTCATTAAAACAAAACATATAAAAATGCAAGGACAATTATATTACTAATCAGTGCACTTATCATTAAATTAATTATTAATAACTATACAATTTGAAATGTGAACAGTGGAGCTAATCCATGTCGGGTAGAAACAGGTATCTACCTGAGTACAATGGAAGATGGTCGCGCATTTTCGTGGGTTATTTGAGATTAGACATTAACACTGTTGGATTCCGAATCAGCAGTGTACTGGTTAAACGCTAGCGCTCAAGACTGAATTCTCTGGGTTCGGATCCCGCGAGCGGGATCATGGACGCGCACTACTGAGGAGTCCCATGATAGCACGAAACAACCGTCCAGTGCTTCCAGGTTTTCATTGGTGGTCTAACGTCAATCGGTCAATGATATCAATCAATAATTTGAAATGTAATGAAAAACGAAGTATAAAACTTAAAGGATTAATTTTGCAGTAAAACAGAAATGGAAACATGATTCATTAGGAAAAATACATTCTAAAAATTTGATCTTTAATAATTAACCACAGAATATTTGTTATCTGGTATATTGTTAGTTAAAATAAAACAAAAATAAACTGCCAAAAGCCAGTTTTCAATCGATTCTACTATCATTTACTACTTTACTATTTTTTTTAGTTTCAAATTTTAAAAAAAAATAATTTACATTTGCATTTGCAGTTGATTAACCTATTGTACATAAACTGATTGTAATTCACGATAAGGAATAAATTGTATTTCTAGTTTGCTGTAAACTGTTTAGGTGAAAAACTTTTAAAGAAACTTTGTGTTTAGTAATACGTTAGTAGCTTCATAGTGTAGGGATAAATAATTAGTTTGTGTTATTATTCGCATTTTTTACAGGAGGGCTGGATGTTTTAGTGGATGGTACTATGTTAAGCCGACATAGGTTATTCTAGTTTCTGGATAGACCAATTTATTCATTCTTCTCAAGCCACATGCTGATTATGTTGATTATTTGTTTATCAATCCTGTTTTTATATGATCGAATGTGTGTTAATTGCTTGCCCCATTCATTACGTATTTGTAACTTATTTTTGGTTTGAATTTAGATATTGAGTCACGCTCGATCAAATAAAGTTGGTTCACTTGCCTTCTCCGCTGCGCATCACTTCGTTTCTTTGATTGTCTGTTCGGGTCAATGTGTGTATGAAATATACGTATCAAAACTCATTTTCGTATCTGGCTTATTTCATCCCATCATTCTCTAACGTAAATTAGTCGATAAAAATATACGAGGGTTGGCGGTATGTATATCTCGACAACAATCATCATACAATTTAACTGAAGTCAGATATTAAGCCACAAAATTGTACGTCAATGTTTAAAATAACACTTTTGGATAACAGTTAAATCATGATCAATTGAATAACATGAATATATGATTACGTTCTATTCCGTAAATTTTCATTTAACTTTAGTAAAAAGGTTTTTTATTTAATCTAATACATAGGATTTTAATTGCTATAAAGTAACAGGAAACAGTTGCTGAGTTGATAAATATTCAAACTCGATTCTATGGAAAAAAAACTATTTCGGTTAATATTGTTAATATATCTGAGCTATACTTAACTAATGGTAACGATTTAAAAGGGGCACTTCTTAATAAATCTAACTTGATTAAATAAGCAACAAAAAAAGTCTTGATATGTTAACTGTTGGACGCTTATGGTACATTCAATTTATTAGTATCTAAAGATCATTAAATGTAGAAAAATTAACTAAAAGCAAGATTTAAGCTTTATCAAAAAGTAGCAGGAGCATATAAACGAGTTAGAAATGATTTGCTAATGTTATCAAGAAAAGTTAATTTATTGCTACTGTTATTAAAATATTTATTCCCTATTCATGTCACGTAAGATAAAATCATCAAGGAAATAACCAATTGAGTGAAAGGTTTGCAGAAAAATAAAATTTTTGGTCGAAATGTACCATTAATTTAAGTCTTTTACTTTTAATAACTAAGCACACGTACTGTTGACTCCATCTAATTTAAACTAAATGCTATTCTATTAAATGTAACGACACAATTACTTCCTAGAATTGAAAACAAGATACGATGAAAGTTCATTAAGGGATATCGAAAGATTTTTTTGATGAAAGAGGTAACTGTCTATGTGAATTAAATATAGACAATTCATTGACCTCACTACTTTGTACTCAAAAATAACACTTTGTAGATTGTTAAATAAATCACAAAACATAGTATATTAATTAGATGAGTTCATCAATGAAAACACCTGATTATCATTGAAATTAGACAGTTGTTGAACTACATCACACAACAATAAACAGATTTGAATATTTGCCATTGAGCATTTTATCAACTAAGTCCATAGAAATTCGCTAGCTATGACCTTTAACTAAAATTCTCTTTTTTTGTTTAGGAGAGAATTGAAAGCTCCTTTTCAAAACCTGTTAACTTAGTTTTTATTACGATCCGGAGATTAATTTATTATTGTTTGGCTTTAGTCAGAACATTTTCCTATTTCAAGACAATATTATACATTTCAGGCAAATAGGTAACATAATTCTGTTCAATGTAGCTGTTGATAAAGTTTAGAGACTAGCAAAGAAACTGAATAATAATAAAAGCACTTTTAGTAATATCTCTTATCAGTTGAAATTCTAAAGTCTTGCTAAAAGATTAGTTCTTCATTACCTTACTGTCAATCAAAAATAATATAAGAGAGTGATTTGTTCACTTCATTTATGTACATACACTCACTACATTTAAAAAAATAGTGAACAAAACCAGTCAGGTTGGTTGGTGATTTTATGAAACTTTATCCGATTTCTAGGTTTCTATACATAGTGTATATCCCTACCTACCATTCATGAAAGTGTACAGTGCTAGACAGTATTATTATAGCACAATAGGAGATTAATCAGAATAATAAAAAAATCAGTCTATGTGATCATGGACTGTTTGTCTCAGGTTTATAGGTATATGTAGCCCACCAAAGCAACGTTCCCAAATCAGTAGAAACAATAATACTATGATGAATAAACGTAACTTTAGATACAAAATAAATCTTGTAAGATACCCTCTGTACAATACTGATTTCATGATTTAAAAAATATGCATCATACTTACCTCTAAAAGTTCTCTGCATCGTTTGGAATTATTCGCTTCAATTTCTTTACAATGTTCAATCATCTAAAATATATTTACCAAAATATTTATACATTTATTATATATTTTATAATAAAACCAAAATACATTCATAATGGAAAGAAAATGTTTAACTAGTTACTTTGTTACCCTATAGTACATTGATTCCATCAAACGAATTTTAATCTCTATAGCGGATACTTCACATTTCACTTCAATAATTCTAATCGGTATTTCATCGAATTCAAAAGGTATTATAATTAACTCTTGAGAAAATATACATTCTTTAATTTATTATTAAGTATTATGTCACAGACATCTTATTCAATAATTTTTTGTTAAATGAAAAATTTAAAAGAATCAAATTTCAACTTTAAGTTTAATTACAATTCTGTTTTTCATAATACTAAAACATGAGTTATCCAATCCCATTAGTTGGTAATCTCCAGACTAATAAGTCTTGCTAATTGAACGCTATATTCGGTTCCTAAGTTATCCTCGTAACCCCCAAGCTAGAAATACACAGCCATCTGAACACGAGAGAAAAGGCGCAAAATATGCGAGAAGCACTTTACTCCAAAGGTTCGTTTTACTACAGAAAATATTGGGTTTTAACAGTATTTTAGATGTCGTTGGGTTTCCCGAAGATTCTGGAATGCTACTTAACATAGTAACAGTATTGTAATCAGCCAATCAGAAACCCTACATGTGATTTTTCATTTTCTTGATGTTTCCGGCTAAAACTTCAAATGAACGTTGATTAGATGAAATGTTTCTTAGTGTTTACTGAGCATTTCTTGTATTTTGCAAAACGTTTTATGGATCACCCCAACACAGACAATGATGAAACCACTCTATGATCTACCTTTAAGATTTTCAGAAGAGGTTTAATGAAGGTTTTAGAAATTTCAATAGTTGAAATCATGAATCAGTTAAAGCTAGACCACTATGGAAAACCTGGAAACACTGGACGCCCGTTTCGTCCTAAAATGAGACTACTCAGATGGACTGGTCGAAGTTAGACAGTGACACCGTTGGATGCTGGCCGTCTCAGTGGTCTAGTGGTTAAACGCTCACGCTAGAGACTGAAAGGTCCTGGGTTCGAATCTCTTGAGGCGGGGTCGTGGATGAGCACTGATGAGAAGTCCCATACCAGGACGAAACGGCCGTCCAATGCTTCCGGGTTTTCCATGATGGTTTAGCTTCAATTGACTCGTGATTTCAACTATTGAGATTACTTTAAAATTTTATAAATTTCTAAATTTTTTTAAAAACTTTTGAAACGATAAGGAACGGTATGGAATCTAAATTAAATGTTAAATTCTTTTTTCCTTCTTTCATTATCAATGCGTTGATTTTATTTATATTAAAAAAAACTATTTGAAACTAAAAATACTGTACATACATTATGTTTATATGAAACGCTTAACGATCTATCTATATCAGGATGAGAGTTTGTGGAAATGGTAGTAATTCTGCAGTCAAATTCATGAATTGTGGATTGGTTGAAGTTAGACATTAGCACTGTTGGATGCCGGTCCAATGATGTAAAGGTTAAGCGTTTGTGTGGGAGACAAAAGGTGTTGCGTTCGAATCTCGCCTGTGGAATCGTGAATGCGCACTAATGAGTAGCCCCATACTGGAACAAAACAGCCGCCTATTGCTTTTAGGTTTTCCATAGTGGTTTAACTTAAATCGATCTAATTATATATATATATAAGGCCATCTCCGATGGGAAGTGAAATTCAAAATCATGAACTCAAGAGAATTCACCTAATTTTCACGATGAAAACATGTAATATGTAATAAAAATTAACCTTCAGACTAATATTATATTTTATTACAACCACGCTATATTCTTATCAACTAACAGATATCTTCATGAAGTGAGTACTAATGATACTTTCCAGAATATTACGAAAGGCTATTCAATAAAACCACTTACCCTGGAGAGTTCAACATTATCATTACAGAAAAATATTTAATACAAATAGTAATGAAACATTTCCAAAACTTACCATTCGACATAAATTGAGTGTTTGTTTTTTATATGGTGCACCATTCTGAAGTAAAATCAGATTAATCAAATTATTGATATGAAAAACTTATAAAAAAATTATAATTTTTTAAAAGCTACTACTTTGGTTAATAAGAAATACTTTCAACAAAATCATCATACGTTGTTGTTTTTGTTTAGGTTAACAACTTCGACATCATTTCTGCGCACATAAATCATTAAACCTGAGAGAGCTGAGAAGTTATGAGTTTTCAGTAATCAATGTATCATTTGATCAGTTAATCTAAATTCATAAATTCAAACTTGTATGCATCAGTTTCATTGATCTTTATCATTGTTCAGTTGACTAACTAGTGACTACAATCTTTCAAGTTATAAATCCATATCAGTGTTTGGATAAGTTAACTCTACTGGCTATCATAAGTAAGAACTCACTAAACCATCAACGATTTCATCCAACTACTCTTCAATATTTTCAGTTTGGAGTTGTGGAGATTGTTAAATGTCATTGAAATCATGAAGCGATCAATTTTAGACCACCATTGAAAACCTAGAGGCATTAGACGGCCATTACCCCCTAGTATATGATTCCTCATCAGTGGACACCCACGATCCCGCACGCGGGGTTCGAACTCAACATCTTTGGTCTCGCGCGAGGACACTTGACCACTAGACCACTGGACCCACATCCAAAGATGTCAATGTCTAACTTCAATCGGTCCACGATGTCGTCCGACCAGTGAAGTTCAACTGTGTTACGTGTGAGGCAGTTACCAACCGAAGACAATGAAAGATGGTCATGTGACATCGTGGATTGTTTGAAGTTAGACATTAACACCGTTGAATACCGGTTCAATGATCAGGGTTTAAGCGTTCGTGCGCTAGACCGAAAGTACCGGGTTCGAAGCCCGCATACGGGATTGTGGATGGAGGAGGAGGAGAGAGAGAGGATGCGCACTCCAGTATTCTCTACTGTTTAGTTCATTTACCTGTTCATCAGTCAGTTAGTCATTAACGAATATATTACATCTCATAATAAAATATTTAAAATAAGAAATCATTTATATAACTAACGGCACGATCAGCATGGAATTCAGTGTTAAATTGAAGTCAATAATATGATTTCGAATGATGAATTTATGCAGATTCTCTTAGTAATCAATCTAACTCCTTTTGTTATATTCAAATTCAGTTAGGAAATTTTAAACAACCCTATTTATTATTAAATGTTATGCGGAATAATCAAACTTCACTTTAATATGACAGAACTTGATTTTACTTACTGTTACAATGAAATATTTCAGTATTTAAAAGGTGAATTTATTTATATTTTTATCATTATTATTTGAATTTGGCAACGTATACGGTTGAATTTTCAACTCAGAACCTAATAATATTAAGCTATCTATGAGACTTGAAGATGATGAGTTCACTCCTACCTGGAATAATGGTTCCTCAAATATTTTAAATATGTTATGATCGACATCAAACAAAGATTTTTGTGACATGAAATTATGAAAACATATCTCTTTTCCATATCATAAAGTGTTAAGTGAACAATAAAGTATAAAACAAAACAATAATTAACTTTTGAAATTATGTAAAATATTTCAATAGTTGATATCATGAGTCAATTGAAGCTAGACTAACATGGAAAACCTGGAAGCACTGGAATGCTGTTTCGTCCTATTGTGGGACTCCTCAGCAGTGCGCATCCACAAAACGGCCGTCCAGTGCTTCTAGGTTTTTCATGGTGGTCTAGATTCAATTGACTCATGATCTCAACTATTGAAATCCACAAAACCCCCTTTGATGTTATGTAAAAGATATATGGTTATCCATTTTTATTGCCAAATACATTCTGTAGACACCTTAACAAATTAAAATGTTAATCTAATTATATATCACTCCATAATTTCTTTATCAGTAGAAAACATTTCATTAAAATTTTGTCAATCATTCATCATCATTGAAAACATTGATAAAACTCACGATATATCTGTGTTTCTATGTGTTCCAATGAAACAATAATCATTAATGTTAATTATTTTCATCTATAAATATATTATGATTTATTGATAAGTTCCTTTTATATGATTAACTGATATGTGAACTGTTCAAGTAATTTCTATTATCATTTAAATAATAAACATTAATATAAATGCTATACATGACTGATTATTTATTCTGTTTAGTCCAATACATCAAAAGGCAAATTATGACTTAGTTGAGCTGACAACGTTTTTTTAATAGTATGCAAACATATATATATCAGAAGGGGTTTTGTGGAGATTTTTAGAAATTTCAGTAGTTGAACTCATGCGTCAATTGAATCTAGACAAACATGGGAAAACCTCGAGGCACTGGACGACCGTTTCGTTCTAGTATAGGACTCCTAAGCAGTGCGCATCCACGGTCCCACCCCTCTCGAGATTCTAACCCAGGACCTATTGGTCTAGCACGCGAGCGCTTAACCATTAGTCCAGTGCTTCCAGGCTTTCCGTAGTGGTCTACCTTTAACTGACTTATGATTTCAACTGTTGACATATATATATATATATACCGCGATAGCTAGTTTAATTTATTTTGCAACGTGAAGAGAATAAACTTTGAATGATTGCTTATACACTCAACAGATCAAGTGAAAATAATTAATATTGTTTTCGAAGCTTTTTTCCTGACATTTTTCAATAGTTGAACTGTTGTAAAGATTATAAGTAAAGCATTTAATCTTGTCTCGTTTTTAATTTATCTATTTACAAGTATTGATTTCTCAGTATTCTAAGTAAGTTCATTTAATGTAGATCATTCAGAACTTAAGTTCATAAAGGTGTATTTACAAAGTGATTACTCTCAAATATACAATATATCTCAAATAAATCTTCAACAGTATGTAATCATAACTCTATTAAAGATAAAAACATATATATTTCAGTTTACAAAAACAACAACAAGAAATCTATTATTAGACCAATGAAATGATTTTCAATGATTCATATTTACTTCAATCTATTCATTCAATTATAATATCAATTTTATATAACTCAAAATATTTTTAAGCATTAATATTTAGAAATATCCTATCATAAATCATATATATTATTCTGATCTTTCAAATGAAATTAATCACAATATTCTCTTCTCTTCAAAGAATTAACGATGATACTATCATTTATGGACGACCTTTAAATGACGTTAAAATGAACTTGAGAATGTCCACCTATATACTACGCTTAAATGAAGATTATAAAATAATGTGAGGAATTATAATTATAATTTACAATTGATGATTAAGGTTAGAAATCAGATATAAGTTTATTTTTAATCATGAACTGACATCAATTGTAATGTCAAAACACTATTTAATCAAATGAATGAATTGATTTCGCTCCAAAGTTCAAGACTTATTATTGTAAATCTGATTGTTTCGTCCATAAATTATAGTCTTACCGTTATACACTAATATGATTTGTAAACAAGTATAAATGTCAAGAAGAATAAACAATTAAGATTATTTTAATCTTTCAATGTAAAATTAACATTATTAATAACTAACCTGATTAGTTGTACTTGATTCTAATATTTGAAATTGTTTCATAATAATACGTGTACTTTCATTCTCTGTATTATGATGATGATGATTGTTATTTTCATTTTCAATGAAATTCATTGTTTGCAACAACAAAAAAGATGCATAAAATGTTAAATAGTAATTCGTAATTTACACAAAGATGAATCGATAGAAACAAGAACCTTTTAAATGACATTTACAGTATCCCATTTGATTTATTATTGAATAACTAACTTGACAAGTTTTGAAATAAATAAAATTATAGTTTTTCTTTTGCTGTTTACTGAATATAACAATTTTGAATATTATAAATATTTATTAAATGTTTATTCTATATATTAAGATGATTAATCGATTAAAATGTAGCTAATAATGTAAGCTTTCTGAATAATATCGTGGATAAAGACTTTTGAGAAGTTCCATACTAGGACGAAATGGTCATCCAGTGATTTTATATTTTCAATGGTGGTGTAGTTTAGATTGATTGACGAATTCAACTACTAATAATAATTAGTAAAGTATAGGTGATTACATAATGTTTAATCAATTCTAACTAACTTTATACTTTCATTGTGAGTAAACATGAAGACAACTCGTTCAATTGTTTAAACTAATCAAATGATAATATAAAATATCTTTTTAATTTTTTTACTTACAAGCCATTCTTTAATTTCAAAATTGATGTGAAACACTAATAATATATAACAAGCTGAATACTTTAGTTGCTTTCGTAAGGTCAGTTATCATGCCAACAAGACTTAACTCAAATGTATTTCATCCTAAGTTACTATGTATAGGACAGTTTAATTCAAAGAGATATGTCATCGCAGAGCACGATCGTTAATGAACTATCTTATAAGATATGAGAGCTTTATTTTATATTTTTTAAAAAGAGTCAATTAAACGTTTAGTAAACATTCAGAAAACATAAGATGAATTTCATTTAAGTATGATATAGCGAATGGCTTGTCAATTTTGTAACATACATCGCTTACATAAGCGTCAAAAGAAATAGGTAAACCTCCTGAAGTTTATGTAGATTATAAAAAAGCACTAATTGTATCTACATATTCGTCTGATCATGTTTAATTATGATCATTTATATAATGTATACTTTCTTAAATATCAAAAGTCAGTTGAATAAAAGCAATATTACCCTTCATTCAACTAGTAGATTGTGTTTAATTGTCACTAATCAACAAACTGCAAGTTAATTCTATCTAGTCTGTTGAAAAGAATGACTTTATTTTCTTGACATTGAGAAGCTCATCAATAAACATTTTTGGTTGAGACTATAATTTATGGATGTGACGCTAAAATGACCTTGAGAATGTCCACCTATATATTACACTTAAATGAAAATTATAAAACAGTGTGAGGAATTAGGATTAATATTTACAGCTGATAGTTAGGTTTTTCACCGCGAACTGACGTCAGCTATGATGCTAAAACTCTATGTAGACAAATGAATGATTTAATTTCGTGCCAAAATTCAAGACCTATTACCGTAAATCTGATTTGTTCATCCATAAATTACAATATCGCCAGTATCTTAAAATTATTCCAATAGTACTTCACTATATTCAAATCTAGAGCACCTAGTCATACAAATAAAGTGTAAAACAGATGAACAGAATAATTCTAAACATAAACTCTCATTTTCTAATTAGATGTTAGATTCCGCTGTATACAATTATTACCTTTGGTCCTTAGGTTTAGAAATATTCTAAAATTACAACTTGTATGGTAAGATATTTGTTTTGCAAGAGAACGATAGCGTTATAAATAGTATTTTAACTATTTATTGTTCAAATATATATATATATATATATATATATGGTATCTTCAGAACACAACTAGCAGAAAGTGTATAATGATGATTGATAGTTGATTACTAACTTATATCATATTTTTTAAGCCGATACTACTAATACAATTTCGTAGGTTCTATTAAAAGAAATGACAAGGCATATCATTCATTATTTGTTGATTTCGTCTCCAACCAAAGAAATTCAATGAACTCTCCGTGATAGTTAGCATTTGTAAGCAGAATATGAGTGTGGTTACGAGGAAATATTGATTTTCCTATAACTTGGAACCATACATCACCCACTATTACAATCAAATGTGCTACCACTAAGTTATTTAAACCATAAATAAATATTTGTAGGACTAAAATTCTTATAATTTGAATTCATACCATAAAGACTGTAAACCATATAGTAATAAAAGCAGGGATAAATAAAGTTTACAAAAAATGTAAAGTGCAACATTAATAAAAACAGTTAATCATTAAACATTGTAAATTAGAGATGAAATCATTCATTATTACTTACCAGCAGTTGCACGTTTTTCTAAAGTTAACACTAAATCCTTACATGTTTTACACCATAATTTACAATAATCAAATACAAAATCAACAGCATTTTTGTCATTTTTAGCTAATTTTTTATCTTCTTCGGATACACCACTTCCTATGAAAATATAAATGAAATTTTTTTTTAAAATAAAAAAAGTAGATCGAAATTTATGACAATTGTTATTAATATATTTTGGATTGAGATCATGAACCAATTGTTAGACACTAACAACATTAAATCCCAGCTCAGTGGTGCAGTAGGTTAGGCGTTCGCACGCAAGGCCGATAGGTACTGAGTTCGAATCCAGCGACCGGGATCATGGATGAACACTGTTGAGTTCCACAATAGAACGAAACGGCCATCCAATGCATCCAGGTTTCCAACGGTTCTCTAACATCAATCGGTTCATGATCTCAACCAAAAACTTAATGATCTCCACAACCCCCGTACTAATATTATTATTATGTTGAATAATATGCATTGGTAAAATAGTTTGGAAAAGCTGGTGACCAAAACAAAAAATATCGGTTTGTTTTTCCTTAAAAAATAGAAACAAATGTGAAAAACAATAAGGGTTCAGTAACCTGCAATAGTATGTATCCTTAAGAAAAGAAAAAATGATAATTTTCATGTATATAGATATATTTATTTTATCAGGTATCCCCCAAAATAAACGCATACAAGACTAAAGATCTTTTTATTAATAATGCGATCATTATATTACTTTTTGCACATCATCTTATTAGAATAAACTGAATTTCCCATGAAGAAATTCCCATATTCACTTGTACATTATTCCCTGTTAACTTTATATAAATATCGAACTGAAAAAATACTCAAACGAATGCAACATTACAGTCTTGTGTTCGAGTCCCCCATGATGAACTGTAGATCCGCACTGCTGAGTAGTCCTATACAAAGACGAAACGGCTGTTCAGTAATTCCAGATTTCCAAAGGTGATCGAGCTTAGATTGATTTATGAACTCAACTGTGAAATTATTATTTTCCCTATTGGCTTTCTCTTTAGACATTTGTTTTTTTAATCAACAAAAGAAATGTTTGCTTAACAAATTAATGATCCAAATGAAGTGAATTAGTAAGAACAAAAACATTTATTATTGTATGAAAAAAAGAAAAGAAATGAAATAATCATTTACAGTAAAAGAAAAAGAAACCCTAGGTAAACTGAAACATTGAATAAACCATTAATTGCATTTTCTTTTACTTTTCATCTTATGTACTATAAGAAGAAAAACATTTTACAATATGAAAGGTAATCCTTGTTATATATATATATATTGTTGATAGATTGAATAAATGTCAAATATGAAAGGTGCACAATGAAGTACTACCAATAGCCTTGACCTAGAAACACATTAGAGTATTTTTTCTAATACTACTACACACTTTTAGTTGTAAACATTTTCATCTGTTTATGCATATTAGTGAATGTACTGTTGATTGGATCATTCTTTTTTCCGCTTTTTTTTAAGAAACTATAGTTTACACGATGAAATTTTCAAAGAAATTTTGTTAAAAATTTCTCAACATATAAGAAACATTCATATAATACGTTTCAAAAGCTTAACGCTTAAATATCTTTTAAAGCATGTTGTAAAATGTATACTGTTTTAATAATTCTTTTATTAAAAATAATACTCATATATATAATGATTAATTATTGACTGATGATCTCAACTACTGAAATTACTACAATCTCCACAAAACCCCTTCTGATACTAATCAACATATGCTCACTAGTGACTGGATTCTAGAGGTTTCCCCTGGAGTTCTAGTGAGAAGCAGTGGCCAGTGGAGTTCAACCGCGGGGAGTGATTGTTGACGCGCACTGCTGAGGAGTCCCATACAGTCATCCAGTGCTACTAAGTTTTCAATGATGGTTCATGATCTCAACTATTAAATCACTATAATATCCACAAACCCTCTCTCGGATTATGAAAACAGTTAGGTCAATTTTTTCGAAAACATTAAATCTTAAATATATTACTTAATAACAAAATATAACATGATTAATATGTTTTAACACATCATGAACTTAAATAACTCTATTTGTAATTATCATGTTTAGAATTAGTATTTGATTTGCATAATTGTTGTTAAGCTTTCACATAAATGGTAAATTAAAGGTTGACAGATAATCCCAGTTAAACATTAAAAATTAAAAACACGAAGTTCAGCGAGGGGAAATTTAAAAAGACGTTGGAAGTGAATAGGACATATATTACGGAAGTAGTCAAACTGCATCAAGAGGCAAGCGCTAACTTGGAATCCTGAAGAGAAAAGGAAAAGAGTAAGACCAAAGAACACAATGTTTCGGGAATCGGAAGTAGATACAAAAAGGATAACTAGCAGTTGGAAACAACTGGAAAGAATCGCCCAGAACAAAGTTACATGGAGAAACCTGATGGTTGACCTATACTGCTCCATGAGAAGTAACATGCGAAAATGAAATGAAATTATGTTGTTGTTTCTATTCTAACAAGAATATTATGGAATAAAACGATGTTGAGATTATACAGCTCAGCTAACTAATTTGAGTTATATAAATGTAACCGAAATATTAAGCAGATAAATGATCGAGTCACTTTGTCAAATTATTGTGAGCTTACGCACATTAAAACTAAATACTTTTCTAAATTTAATACTATAATATCAAAGAAGATAATGCAAATAAATGATTAAAAACACAAATCACTATCTTATGAATGAGATGATGAATCAATTGATTTTAAACAACCTTTGGAAACCTGAAAGCACTGGACGGCCGTTTTGTGTCGGGTAGAGACAGGTATCTACCTCAGTACAATAGAAGATGGACGCGAAATTTCGTGGATTAATTGATGTTAGACACTAACATCATTGAATCCCAGCTCAGTGGTGCAGTAGGTTAAGTGTTCGTACGCGAGACCGATAGGTAATGAGTTCGAATCCAGCGACCGGGATCATGGATGCATACTGCTGAGGAGTTCCACAATAGAACGAAACGGCCATCCAATGCATCCAAGTTTCCAATGGTGGTCTAACATCAATCGGTTCATGATCTCAATCAAAAACTTAATAATCTACACAACCCCTATACTGACATAAATCAATACACATTGACTTTTCTACTTCTAGTTCCTATTTTTAATGAATTTGATATAAGAGAAAAATATGACGTGAAAAGAAAATAATAAAAATCATGTTCATAGATAAGAATTTTTTTCTTTATTCTTTTTTTAGGATTTCAAATATTATTGTTACCATTAAAAACCACAAAATTAGAAAAAGATTCATTTTGAACATAATTTCTCTCTAGTGATAAATGTATGAATTTATAAGAAGAGAAGAATAGTTAAGTAATCTATTCTTCTTATTGGAAATAAATTATCATTTTGCTCTGATAATTTAATAGTGAATGTCTCTTACATTTGTATACCTATATACACAAGTATTCTTATCTATAATATATAATGTAGATATACTTTTAGATAAACTATTGTATAGATTTCTATTTTACAATATGAACACAAATGCACATATTTTGTCATATTGTGTTTATTAAGTCCATCATAATTTATTTTTTATGATCACATGAAATAAATGTCATGTACATGGTTAAGTAGTTAGTACCCCTATTTCGATCACTATTTTTTATGTATATATAAGTATTTGTATGTGCGTCAATTGTCCAGTTATACAGAATCATTGTAATAATTATTAACTGAAAAAATAGTGAAATATCTGTATCATTAAAAATAATAATAATAATAGCCTTAACGAATAAATTGGCTAACTGAATTAGCTTATCGATCATATGATAGATAAATGGATGAATGCAATAGTAATAATAAAGCCAATTATTACTATTATTATCAACAGTGTTGAGATAATTAAATTTTAACGAAATTAAATGTAAAATAGGGTTGCAGGACTTAAAACAGACAAATGAAGATAACAATGATTGACAACTATTCATATAGAATAGTGAACACTTTAAAAAGTAATATAATTAAGCATAATTATGGAGATTGAAAACCGATCAATGTAAGATCACCGTTGAAAAACTTAAAAGCACTGGACTTCTGTTTCGTCTTAGCATGGGATTCCCCAGAAGTGTACATTGATGACTATCAGCTGATTGGTTGACACGCGAGAGAGCGAATGGGAAAACGAATCAACTTGAACACTACTCAATTTATTCCTGATTGCCGATTCACAGTAATTTAAGAGAATTTATGCATAAATAGATGACTAACATGACCACAACGCATAAACAGTTAGAAGAATACAATTATGTACAAACTAGTGTAGAAAAATAGGTTACAAAAGGTTAAACTTAAATCACAATGGCTTTGGAACAGGAAAGGGTGTGATAGCGTACCATACACCAAACTAAAGCTTATAGTTTAATGAATGGCCTAGTGACAAAACTAAATGTTAGTAATTTACAGGCTTTGAATGGAGTGAAATAAAGTCACCAAAAACAGAAGGAAAATCTAATGAGATGTTGACATAATGAAATATAGGCATGAAAATATTTAAAAAGTCCTGGGTTTGCTCCTTTGAAGTATCATCAGTGTCGATTGCTAGAGAATTCGGTACTAATTGTAAAGTTGCCAGGCGCTGCGTAAATGTCAAGTGTACCTTCAATCTAGGTTAACCAGTGATGGATGCCATATGCTAATCAAACAAATTACTGGAAAATATATACATCTAAAAACTATGCTGCGAAAATTACATCAAACATACTGTAGATTTACCTCTAGAGTTCAAAACTTTAAAGATAATATTGGATGTTCCTTTATTCGTGTATCAATAAATCAACTCGACAAATCATTTCAAATATAAATTTGCAACTAAATATTAGGAAGTCGTCTGTTAGATATTATCATTTGACCTTTTCAGTAAACCATATGCATATTTAAACCATACGATCATTACTTTGTAGTCTCAGTCTAAATGCACTGTATGAATCCGTCGACAATTAAGAACATGGAACTAAATCACTAGGAATAGTTGGAACAGTCATTCACTAATAATATGAATATGTCAGTTACGGAATATTAATAGTTTTGCTTCATATCGATTATATCACAATCTATTAACACAATGTATAGCACTAAAATATTTGATCTACCTAATGCAATTTCAATTTCTTTTCCGAGTGTATAAGTTGATTTCCCAGACGTAGATGTGTTCGACATAGTAGTAGTAGTGGTTGTAGTAACAGAAGTGGAGGTAGTACCAGTTGCATTGATTTGATCAGTTATCGAAGGTGAAGAATCATGTGTGTTGGGTGTAATGAACGTTGAAGTTGATGATGTCGTTGATGATAACAGATAAGAAGATGATGAACGAGGTTGTTGTGAACCAGAATAACCCTGAATTTTCCCCAATGATAAAATATTACAAAATAAGATGATTTACGGTGAATCACTAAAAATTAACTATATTGGCAAATATTCCATGTCATGCACTAGTGACAATTTATCGTGCAAATTATTTGTGAATGTCACAGTGAACTTCAGGAGTTATGCAAATAAATGATCAAACTGACGACAAGTGGAATATAAGCAATGTGAGATAAAAGGATAATGCAACAATAAGTAGCTATCCAAAACCAGACGAATGAGGTTGTAGGATGTTAGATTTGGAATAATGCAATACTCAATACAAAAGAATCGGTCTATACTGAAGTTGTTGATCAGGTTTTAACACGCAGAAAGTTTTTAACCAAGGATTACAACTGCCTCATAGGCACCAACAAATCAGTGGTCGAGTGAACTGGGTTGTCTTCACTTACTACAGCCTACTCTCACATCAATTCTGATAGGACGTCTGAGCAGACGTTGACTAGGCAAGTGTCACGCAATCTTTAATAAATGTCCGAATCTTGTCAACTAATTAAACATTTGTATCAAGTTCTACTGACTCGGGGTCAGCATTTCATTTCCGAAATTATATGGCATAATTATATTTTACTCTAATTTACAGTAAACTTCACGTGAAATGTAACTCCATCAAATCAAGGTGTGAGTTACATATTACGATACAAATGCTCCGGTCTTGAATCCGAAATTCCAGAGAAAATTTAAATTGTTTCAAGATTATAACGACTGTCTTTACTTTTCCAGTTATGACATACAAACAAAGATTTCATCTTTGCTCATAAGCAGTCTTCTCAAATAGTTTGCAACATCTCTAAGAATGCAGAATCATTGATACTTTGAATTGGATTTCCCTGTAATGATCAGTAACAAAATGTATTTCAAATGTGCGAGTCCGTTGTGGTTAATTTTCAACTGCCCAGGGCTCTCATACGTATATCTACTATCCAGCCTTTATATAATAACAACTGCCAATCGTTCGTACTCGATACTACTTTAAGGAATCATGAGAGGAGGTACATAACCTGGTTTTAGTATTATTCACCATGATTTATGGTAGATAGTGGTAAAAACATCTCCCTGTAGTAAAGTATTCCTTTCATTTCCTAGGAAATTCTTCAGGCATTCCAATAAGTGGCTTGTCCCATCAGGTAAATAATTATGCTTAGACTTTTACTTAATGAATAATATCCTAATACAAGACCTATTATTCAAAGGACACTGTTACACAAAGAAATGCGAAATAATTAATCTACGAAAGACAAACGGTTTTCCCCAACATCTTACCAAAGTAATATGGACATATACATATGTTGCCTGGCCTCATCAAAAGACGATAAATGGGCCAGCATAACGGAAAACTCGAGGACTTATGACTTATACACAGACGCTGATCAAATTTGTACCAAAACCCATATCTGGCAATATTTTATTTCTTCAGACAATTCAATCCAGCAGAATCTGAATGCACTATTTTATCTTCAAAGTATCATAAGATGGTGGTAATACGAGTTATCTATACTCATCTTTTGAAAACTCACATGATTCTAATTACTTAATATCATCAGTAAATCAAGACACGACTTCTAAAAATATACCGAATTACATAGTAAATGAACTTTTTTATTGATAATCGCTTACAATTAAGGAGCAAAGTATAGTATATTTGGCAATGTGTACCTATATTTAAACGTAAAACAACCGGATAAGTGTTTACTTGCATTACGTGTGAAGTATTTTAGCTAGCTTGGATTGTTTATCTAAATTGTATGTGTGGTTGAAACTGTCTGTTACGTAATTCGGTTTGAAGAAAATTCATAAAACGTCCAAGAAATCAACTTGAACAGGAAGCGCTATGTGGGACCTAGAACAACTTGACAACACATGAAGGTACTGTGATTTAAAAATTCTCTGTATGAAGAATACAGCTCAAGAAAGTATCATCAAAATGCAGCCTGCTTCGCTTGTGTAGTCGTCTAAGCCACATCAGAAGGAAGTTAGCAAGATGAGTAATATAAGACGCCGGATAATAAAATAACAATAATGGTGGGTTAAACTAAAAGTCGAGAATATGATTCGAAAACGGAGAGTAGAAAAGTATGCATAAAGAAATTCTGAAACTCAAAATTGAACGAAAGATAGAGGTTACACTCATCTGCTTTCCCTTGAGTGATTTCAAACCATTTAACCTAAAGTCTCTGACCATTGGTTATAGTAGTCAATCACATCCTAACCAAGTAGTCAGTATCTACCAACATGGCTCAGATCAACGGTCGACGACTTTATGGACTGACTCCATGTTTTGATTTGTCTTCCCTGGATTTTTAACCTGTCTCTATAAAAATAAACGTCGTATGTCTAGGTAGACAGTTTGTAAGCAAACTTGGTACATATCTCAACCACCTAAGTCGGCGAACACTAACCATCTCACCAACCGATCTTCCATTGTTGGTTAGGGCTCCATATATAACCTCAAAACTACTCGTTCAATGACACTCGTGACCAAACCCTAGCGAATTTTGAATGTTCTTTATTTATAAAAGCCAATTTTTTACGTCTATAAAGAACAAGGGGGCTGTTGAGAGATAAAATCGTTCCTTAGTTGACAGATGATTGTCTCGCCTTCCACGCAAGTGGCACTAGCTATCAAAGGTTAAGCGAAATTTCTGAACCAGAGGAGAGATCTTGTCAGACACCATCACTTCGAGGTTGACGAGAATTTTGCGATAGTTTGAACGAACGAGATGTAAACGAGTCCTCTAAATACTATAACCAATAGACATAGTCTGAAGTAACGATAAGAGTTAAACAGCATAGAAACTGGATAATGATCTCAACGTTATCGAAATTCGTTGAAAACCTAGTGTCTCGCTGACGGTAATTTATAGGACGTTTCCTTGATACATTCCAACTTTGCTTATATCCAGTTAAAACTCCTAATTGTTTGTAGATAATTAAACAGGTATTTAACTTCATTTAGCCGACTAAAACAACATGCACATTCATACAAAACTTAGCACGAAAATAATTGAAGTCGAAAAACCACATGAGGAGCACATTAGCTGATAAATTAAGAAGGTTAAGATCTGCTTTGAACCAACACAAGAGTATTTAGACACAAAGAAAAAATTCGACACTATGCTCTTCAAAGCAACACGTCGAGGTTTGTGGTCTTCAGTGGTCTTCCGTCTTCACTGGTAAGAATTAGAGGTCAGTCGACCAATATTATTTCTTTCAACCTACAGCACTGTAAATATCTGACCCCTCTGTAGATGAGTCAATCGAATATGTTGATATTAAGCACTCTGGCTGATAATTCAAGCAACTCTCCATTCGATGCGAGAAATAGAACTCCATCTGTCAAGTTTGCTGCAATACGTGGTAGTTACAAAAATCCACAACCACACAACGGTAAGCGGCTGAACTGTCTTTGTTCGCCCGTCACCAATAAACGAGACTTTATTCACAACCTTATTTTCGTTTCAGTATTGGAGTGACAATGTTTACATCATGTAAGAGTGAGTAAAACATTCTCAACTGACTACAAATGACAGTCAGACGGATACAATTAGAGCCCTTCCTATAAACCACAAGTTGTTATCAAGACAGTTTTCTCAAAGATTTAATTCCTCTTTTCCAACTTATATAGATTCACTAGAGAGGTTTTTGAACATTTGGCAAATGACACCCAACTATAAATCCTGCGGAATTTACAGCCTTTCGTGACTAGATTGAGTACTATTTAGTCTGATAAATGAAAGATATAAGAATTTACGAATACAAAAAACTTGTGTACATTGTAACCTGTTTAATCTTTTTGAAAAACAATAAAGTAACATATAATAAATGTAAGATACGTTTTCTTTGACTTACCGAGTTGTTTGACACGGTTTCCATATCTTTAACGTAGAATTACAGCCTCAAACTTCCCACTTTACTCAATTAGCATATTCTTCATGACTTATAACTGCTAGATTGTTATAGGAAGCGCCATATTAGTTAACAATACGTCCTGAAAGTACAACCCATAGTGAAGGAGTCAAACAAAACAAAACGCCAAAGTCTTTAATTTGGTGAAAGCAACATTTTTTTAAAAATTTTCCTGATTTTGTGGTATTTTATTGTACTTTTATTTAGTAATCCGTATTCTTATATCATTTGTCCAACATTTCAATTCAGCATTTCAGTTTCAGTTTGGAAAGAACGGGAGGTTTGATGGCCTGTGTTAGTCCTGGCAATGGTGGACTGAAGTTGATCCAACTTTCTTTTGAAAGAGTCGACGGGTGGAGCCTCAACCACGTGTTGAGGTAATGAATTCCACTCGTTGATGATTCGATGGGAAAGTCGATAAACAGCTGACAAGTAATTTGTTCTGGGCTTGCGAACTTTTTTGGAGTGTCCTCATAAATTCTCTGTTTTGGCAGATAAGAAAAATGAGGGCTTATCAGGTGAAAATTTATCACTAAACAATTTGAAAACTAATCAATTCGCCTTTAGTTCTACGATATGACAACCGGAATAGGTTTAGCTTAGCCAGTCGAGCATCATACGGAAGCTTCGCTTTTTCGGGGATCATCTTAGTTTCCGTTATCTGAACCTTTTCCAGAAGCTCGCTGTCTTTTTAAGCAGGGGCTAGCCGCTTGTATGCAGTACTCAAGTTTGGGACGAACGAACACTGTATACAAAGTCAAAAACGTTTTAGCGTCGACATGACTAAAAGCTCTACGTATTGACCATAAGGTTCTACAACCTTTGGCGGCTATTGCACGGCAGTGCGCAGTAGTTTTTAAGTCTTGTCTAACGATAACTCCTAAGTCACTATATGTCTGGACGACAGGTAGCTCAGTGTTATTCATCGTGTATGTATATGTGCCTTGATGACCGATTTGCATCACAACGCACTTGGAAGTATTTATCGCCAACTGCCAGATATGAAACCATTCAGATAATTTCTTCGGGTCATTTTGGAGCTCTAAGCTATCATCCTTACACCGTATCGCTCTCCATATCTTGACATCGTCAGCATATAGCAAGACCGATGATGATAGGAGACGAGGTGATGATGTCACAGGTATTCAGTGTTTGACAACGCTTCTACCAGTAACACCTTCTAATATATTTCGTTCCCGCCCAGAGAAATCAAAAGACAGAGTCGAGGAGATCGGAAGAGTATATTTGGCGATGACCAATATATCGGAATTCTCTGATCTAATCTGGCTAGCGATTGCGGTTGATGTTGAGCACGGCGTTACCACACGTGATCTGGTGCGGATGCCTGACTGAGCGCCTTCAGCTAGATGAGTCCACTAAAACATATGGTCAGCATCCAATGTCGAAAACTTAGAGCTATTTGTTTTGGGGATTTATTTACCGCTACAGATCACTCCCCCCTAGTGGGGCAGTGACGGCCCTAAGACGTGGCCAGCCAGAAGTTTAAACCCAACGAGTTTGTCGTTGGTAAACACTCTTTTGATAGCTTACTAAATTTAGCAGCTTCTGGTCGTCTTTCCTTACTATATGGGACGGAAGTACAACATAGTAAAAAAAAGAAAATGTACAATGAAAATTTCGGATCCTCATAAACGTGATCGTTCTTTTCCAGCCGTCCTGGAAAAGAAAAAAGAAAATGTAAGTGCATGTCGAAATACACTCGTATGTGCGTAAAAACACAATGTCGGCGGAAAAAAGAGGAAAATAAACTCATGAACACGTAATAGCGCTAAAAAATTGTTTTTTTTTGTTTTTTTTTTAAATAGAAATAAAAATATATAAGCATATTAAAATTGTTTTTTTTTTAAAAATAATATAAAATGTCGAGAAGTGCCTACGTGCAATAGTCGTTTAATTGTTCTGGAAATCTCACCCTTCTTCCAGAACGCGTCGTTTTAAGTTTATTTTCGGATACTGTCGATGTATCATCGTGTGTGTTGGTTGTCGGATGAGGTATTATAAGTGTCGGAGTCGTGTCGTTCGATTGTACCGAAGGAAAATCCACGTAGATAGGATTTCCTTCTAAATACGCTGCTTTTAAGCGATCGATGCTGATGCTATCGTTGGTTCCGTTCTTATCGACTATATAGTACTTAGATTCACATTGAAGAACCTTGAAGGGTCCTTCGTATGCTGATTCGAATGGTCGTCGATGCGAGTCTCGACGAACGAAAACGTGTGTACTATATCGTAAGTCAGGTTGAACGAAAACATCAGTTGATTGAGGTCGAGTGGAAGCAGGTTTAACTGAACGCATTGCGTTTGTAAGCCTGTTCGTGTAGGAGGTTAGATCCACGTTCATTGAAGAGGATGAAGGATCCACGAATTCTTCTGGAAGTCGAAGTGTCGTTCCATAAACGAGTTGAGCCGCAGTGTATCCAATGTCAGCTTTCACTGCATTGCGGATACCTAGTAAGACGAGTGGAAGAGCGTCGGTCCATTGTGAAACGTTTGCAGCTGATAGCGAAGCTTTCAGTTGTCGGTGAAAACGTTCTACCAACCCGTCTGCTTGTGGATGGTAGACGGTCGTTCGGAAGCGATTGATCCCTAAAAGTGTGGTCAGACGACGGAAAAGTTCAGATTCAAACTGACGTCCGCGGTCTGTGGTGATGGTTGAAAGGCAACCAAAGTTTGCTACCCATCGCTCGACGAAGGTGCGGGCCACTGTTTCAGCAGTGATGTCCTTGATAGGTACTGCTTCTGGCCATCGAGTGAAACGGTCTACGCAGGTTAAGAGATAAGAGTATCCATTTGAATCTGGTAAAGGTCCTACCAAATCCAGATGAACATGGTCGAAACGAGCATCGGGAGTTTTAAACGAGCCTAAGGGACATTTATTGTGTCTGATAACCTTAGATTTTCGGCAGCTTACACAGGAGCGTGCCCACTCCCTCACGTCTTTATTCATTCCAGGCCAGCAAAACCTTTCTGCTATAAGCTTGATGGTTGCACGAACACCTGGATGCGAAAGTTTGTGCAATGTGTTGAAGACATTGCGTCGATAATGTTTCGGCACGATTGGGCGATCCCTACCTGTAGATGTGTCACAAAGTAAGGTTTCCTTACCTGTTCCCATCTGTTTGATGCGTAGTTTAAGTGTTGTCGACGATAACTCGTGCTGAAGATCACTGTCTTCTTTTTGAAGCTCGGCGAGTTTAAGAAGGTCGATTCCTTGGAAACTGTTCAAGGACGTTATGCGAGATAAAGCGTCTGCAACTACATTGTTTGCTCCAGAGATGTGTTGAATGTCTGAAGTAAACTGCGAAATGTAGTCCAGTTGTCGAGACTCACGGGGAGAGTACTTGTCAGAAGGAGAGCTTAACGAGAAAGTGAGCGGTTTATGGTCCGTGAAAAGAGTGAATTCACGGCCTTCGATGTAGTGTTGGAAATGCCGTACAGCACAATACATAGCTAGGGGTTCCCTGCCGAATGTGCTGTACCTCGATTCGGTGTCTTGCAACCTTCTAGAGAAAAATGCCAAGGGTTGCCAGGAGTTGTTAACCCATTGTTGTAAGACTCTTCCGATTGCCGAGTCGGATGCGTCTACTGCGATGCTAATGGGTGCTCGGGTGTCCTGATGTGCGAGCATTGTTGCTTTAGCAATCAGTTCCTTAACTGTGGAGAATGCTTTTCGTGCGGTGTCGTCCAAATTAATGGATTTCGCATTTCCACGAAGTTGGTCGGTCAGAAGTTTCATAAGTAATGCGCATTTCGGTATGAAACGTTTATAGAAACTTACCAGGCCGTTAAACGTGCGTAATTGCTTGACGGTGGTCGGTTCTGGGTAATCCAGAATGGCCGCCACTTTGGTCCTAAGAGGTCGAATGCCTTGAGCGTCGATAGTGTGTCCTAGGAAGTCTAACGAGTCGGTTCCGAATTGGCATTTCTGAACGTTTACAGTTATGCCATGTTTTTGTAGTCGTTCGAAAACAAGATCCAGATGCTTGAGATGTGTTTCTCTGTCCGGACTTGCGATTAGACAGTCGTCAACATATGCATGTACGAAGTTGAGACCTCGGAAAACGTCGTCTATGAATCTTTGGAATGTTTGAGCAGCATTTCGTAGACCGAAAGGCATTCGCAAAAATTCATAGAGTCCGAAAGGAGTTATGATAGCTGTTTTCGGTATGTCGTCAGTAGCCATAGGTATTTGGTTATACGCTTTAACCAAATCGATTTTCGAAAAGACAGTTGTACCTTTCAAGGTAGCTGTCAAATCGTGAATGTGAGGCAACGGGTAACGATCGGAAATGGTTTTCGCGTTCAATCGCCGATAGTCACCAGTTGGACACTAATCGTTCCTGTCCTTTTTAGGGACCATGTGCAACAGAGATGCATATGGGCTACTTGACGGTCGTATGATTCCTAAGTCCATCATGTGATCGAATTCGTTTTTCGCTAACCTTAGCTTTTCAGGAGCTAGTCGTCGTGCTTTAGAGAATACAGGTGGTCCTGTAGTCGTGATGTGATGTGTAACGTTGCTGGTTACACACGGTAGTTTCGGTTGAGTTTGTTGTATCCCAGGGTACTTATCGAGTAGTGGTTGATAGAGTGGGTCTATCATATGTTTAACTGTGACTGGGGATACTCTACAACCAGTAAAAGAAGTTACGCAAACGGACAAATTAGTGTTTCCGTCTACTAGCCTCCGTTTGCGCGTGTCGATGATCAGATTGTGATGTTGTAGAAGGTCCATACCAATGATTGGCATAGAAACATCTGCAATAACGAAAATCCAGTGGATGGGTTTGCGTAAACCCACGTTAAGGTAAACGTACCTTTTGCCATACGTAGCGATCGGTTTTCCGTTTGCCGCCCGTAAGTTAAAAGCCGATTCCTGAAGCCGGTCGTTAGAATTTGCTGGGAGAACGCTAACTTCTGCGCCAGTGTCGACGAGGTAACGAACTCTCGTTGTCACATCTGTGACGAATAACAGACGGCTTTGTTCGCCGGCTACGGTTGCCGTTAACGCGTGCCGGCTTGGAAGTTTCCCGAATTGGTTTTCGAATTAGTCGGTTTCGTGTTGGGA